TCGAGCGGTTTGTGCTCGGTTTGTGGACCATAAAAAAACAAGAATACTGTACAACGATTGCGCTACAATAATCTTTAATGTACTTATTGTTAGATGAGATTGGGACGCGATGGCTCTCGTACATGCATGCGAGTTTGTGTGCGCGAGCCATGTATATGCGCGTACATACATATATGCGATTGTAACATCGAAGAATCGAATCTCATTTGAGAATCGTGTTAATCCCTCTAGTTTTATCAATTTTAATACATTGATCGATTAAAGACCTCGTGTGTTCTCACTGCAGCGAAAATATTTGGACGATCTCAGACTTTGAGAGTGAAAAATTGTCAGTCGATTCTTATCTCGCGCATATACGCACATTATACGTAGAAATATAAATTAATTTCCTTGCAAATAACCATCATCTCATCTCTCCCGATAGATTAGCAATACGCATACCGAAAACTGCTCCTGATTTATCTCGATTAGTAAAATGTAACAATACAATCGATATCTGTATTTGTATATGTATAGAATCCATGTTGCCAGCATAACAATGCATCTAATAACAGATGCAATAATTTATTCATCCCGCGTTTATCGAATCATAATTTCAAAAGAATTGACAGAGGCATGAAAAATAATCAATTTATGTATAAATGCAAGAAAAAGATTTTGATGATCTTTTGCTTTTTTTCGACACTGTATTCGACAATATATCTCTGTATATAGCGGATGATTAAAAAGTTTTAATTTTGAATTACCTGACGAGAGGACAACGAGATCCCTTGCGCATATATCCCAGATAATGTGCATGTAACTGTTTCCAATGTGTTTTACGTTAGCTCCAATACTACTAATTGAATTTATTATATATATATATATATATATATATATATATATATATATATAATTCTCTCTTTCTTTGCGCGTGTCGTTTTATTTTAGCGATCCAAAAGATTTTGCTTCGTTACATCGTTATATGCAAATACATACCTACATGATTATTGCATCGTGTACATACATGATGCAATAATCATCTCCTTTATAAAACTCGGTTATACATATATATGTATATGTACGTACATATTTTTGCGCCAAAGATACAAGAATATGGCTCCCCTTTAAAACAACCCTCCCTTAATCTCTCGTGACATTCAAGATGTTGATTATTATTGTATTGTATGTATCTCCTTTATTCGTTTCTTCGCCTTCGAACGTAGTAAAAATGGTTGGAATCTATTAAAAGTTTATCGTTATAGGTATCTCTGTCTCGGCTTTCTCGTGTTTTCTCGCAAACACAACAAAATGTGCTATTCTTATAATTCGTTCAAAGATGCTATCGATATCAAATTGGATATCGATAAATTATCTAAGCGTGAGTGATTACGGCGAGTGTGTTAGTTTTATATTTAAACACACGTACACGTGTGCGTGCGTGCGCGCGCGCGCGCGCGTGTGTGTGTGTACGCAACTTTTATAACGATAAGCGATTAAAACGCAGTTGCACTTTCGCGATTTTAATGAAGAAAAACAAAAGGCACAAATCTGGCCGAAATCGAACAAATCGCCGAGATTGCCGAAATCGGCGTAAACGATGACGTACGTGATGATGATTAGGAATCGATTAGTTTTTTCTGATCTTTGCCGACACTTGAAATCTACATTTTTGTAATGCTTTATCCGCTTCATTATGTGTATGTATGTCCATGTGCATCGATATTACCGTAAAACATAATGTGGAAATATAATCGGCCGAATATTGAGCGCGATTTTTCGAAGTTTTTCATAAAACTTCAATGCTTCTAGGCTGTGACTTGTAACTGAAAAATCTACCGCGCACGATTATTATCGAAACAAATGACAATCCTCCTCCGAGCAAAGTTAAGCATGAAACGGAAAAATAAATAAAAGAAAAAATGCATTAAAACATTTGGATATATACTTCCTCTTTGTCCTATTCGCGGTATTTTGACGCAACATCGATATGTATGATTCTGTTTCGCAACATAACGCTCACTATTTACAAATGCGAATAACGAGCTTTTATCGAATCCAAAGAAAAATAAATAAATCCAAAAATATTTGAAATTATTGCATTAGGATTGCGAGCAAAGTGAGATGGAAAATTAATGTTTTTCGTGGTGTAATACATTGTAATATGATATATACTTGTAATACTACAAATTGTACTGTCGCACTATATGATATGAAACAATGTATAAATAATAATAATGACAGTTTATGACAATGATATATATATCGTTAAATGGGCTGTGGTAGAAAACTATTATATACGTATATATTGTTGAATTGATTTACATTCTCGTTGTAAAGGAGAAATGGCATCATTCAAAAATTCGTTATTTAAACGTTAAAAGTCAGTACTACGATTTGGTCATACAACGATTATCTTGCACAAAGTGTACCTAATGATACATACATACGTGTGTATGTGTGTGTGTGTATGTATGTGTGTGTGTCTGTGTCTGTGTCTGTGTCTGTGTGTTGATATAATGAAATTGGTTACATGATGTATCTGCCATAATAATTCTCAATAACATATCATATCTATCGTATTCTTAATGAGGACAAATTATAGTGAGCTATAGGTTGTAAATCAGAATCTCGATTGAACTAGCACAGATTTGTTCTCTGATTGTGTGTAATGTAATGCTTTGAAAAAAAATCTTATGAGGCGAATCGATATAATAATATAATTATATGCACAGAATCAATCAATTAGGCATTTATAACATCATAATAAATAAAAAAATATATGTCTAATATAAAAATGCAAGTTAATATTATGTATTAACAATATATTAATGGCATTTTACATTCAAAGTTTTCGCAAAAATTTGTCAATATTTATAGAAAAAGAGAGAAAGAGTCAGAGAAAACATGCATGTTGGAGAAAAGGGGAAAATCATTATAAAGGTTTAAAATTTCTATGATTTAAAATATTTGTTATCAACTTTGGTATCTTTTTCTATAGCGAAAGAAAAAAACTTTAAAATTTTTTTCTTTTAAAGAGATTCAAAATTTTTATTTTATTTGAAACAGAAACTATTTAAGAAAAGAAGCAACAACTCTCTCTTTTTGCACAATTCAAGATAAAGAATATTGCGTTCTTTATATAAAATGCGTTATTAATTGAGGAAAAAGAGGAGAACTTTCTATAAATCATACCCACGCACGCGCGCACACACACACACACGCGCGCGCGCGCACACACACACACACACGTATGTGTGTGTGCGGCTATGCTTTATCTGACGATACCATACTAATTTCCCATGAAAAACATCAAAGCGACATAGCACAAACATTTATATCAATTGCGTAGACTTAGTTGATTAGTTGAAATGAAGAAAATAATAAATTCTTGTTCAAACAAATCGTTTTATTTTTGAAAACGACAGCAGCACGCATGTATCACCTTTGATTTAAGTATACGTAACGTGAAAAACGAGGGCCATTATAAAATGAGATGAGGATCATTATACATTATTAGACCATATTATACGTTTCATCGCGGTTATAGACATATACATTTATGTATAATAATGTATAATAATTTTATTATAATTCTAATATTTATTCTAATATATAGTATATTTTTTTAAATATTTATTTTTATTTATTTATTTATTATATTTTTAATATATAATGTATAATACATATTATATATTATTATACTTTTAATATTTATTCCATATTTATCTAAAATTTTGAATTTAATATTTGGATGTATACATTTTTTGAAGCTCTTTCCCTTAAATATCTGTTTACATACCTGTAACGTATAAAACTATTGTATATGTACACTTCGGGACAAGGATTCGTTCCATGGTCCCTTTCGCGGGACAAGGGGAGCGTAGACCTCTGACCAATCAGCCACTGCCACACTGCCAGTTGATTGGTCATTTCTACGCTCCCCTTGCCTCGCGAAAGTGGCCGCGGAACGAATCGTTGTCCGGGAGTGTACATACAATAAGGCTCCGAAAACTTTTGCCCCCCCCCCCCCACTGTATACAGTGTAATGTATATTGTACTATACGTATGTATGCACATACATACATACATACATACATACATACAAGTGTATGATATATGGGAGCGTTTCTCGTTTGATCACAGCCAATTATATCGATATTTGTACCTAGGATAACCAGCAATGCGATTGACCAATTGGATTCCTTTGTTGAATTGGCCAATGGCAACGTGGTCAATCGGGTGCTATCCGATCGCGTTTAGCAGATCACTCACCGCCAAGTGGCAATCAAACATGATTGGTTCTAGTCTATTTTTAAATCCGACCAATCGAATTAAATCACGTCGGAAAATCTAGTAATGTTGTCCTAGTGTTGAGTCCGCTAAATGCGGCCAATCAGAGAAAAGTCCCTGCTTCAACAGCTGGGCAACATTACTAGATTTTCCGTTGTAATTCGACGCTGATTGACCGAATCTGAAAGTAGAAACCAATCATGTTCGATTGCTACTTGGCGGTTGAGATCGCTGAATGCGGCTACTCTTCCTTGATTCTCTCCATGATCCTCTCTAAAAACCGTTCAATCTTACCGCCATCTACAGATAAGTAAATGTAAACTTGGTAATTGATAAATAACCTGTGTAAGTAACTGAGTAATTTTTCATCGCTTTCCCAGACTTTCCGTGTAATAAGATATAATGAATTATAAGGAAAATTTTAATATTTTCGTAGGCGGAAAATCGGGTGTTTTTAAAGGTAACGATATACAAATGCATTATAGTGTAAATTAAAAATTGTAGGTTATACGATCTACAATTTTGAACGAAATGTGTTTCAACGAGTGTGTTGCACTTGTCGTTTGCAACGTTCGGGCGTATCTTCTGTTTTTATTTAGCTTTCAATGAACAATAAGAATTCCACGAGCATTGCAAACGTCGAATGCCTTGTATAAATTGATCTCTTTCCTTAGCTGATTATTTATATTATGTATTGTTTATTTGCGAATAAAATTTAAATTGTGTAGGAATAAAAGTTGGAAGAAAGACGGATATAATTAAAAATATACAGGACTTGGTCTCTATTACGGAAAATGATCAAGTGACAGCTGTCGCATGGGACGATGATGACGAACGACAAGTCTTAATAGCTTGTGGCATAAGAGGAGACAAAAAGTAACACATATTTTATAATAAGTCTGACTTTTGCTTTTCTATAAAATAAAATTTGGCTACAATTGTGATCTTCTTTGGTACAGGATAAAAATATACGATTCTGACAGTTTAGCATTGACATGTTCATTTCCCTGTAATACGGGCCAAGGAAGCATTATTGGAATATCAAGATATAACAGGTAAAGTTATTCGAAAACAAAAAGATATATCTTATATTAATGTGCACACCAATATTATATTTAATAATGTAGTTTATAATTTTGTCAGATCTGTTTTGATAGGAGTCAAGTCTGGTGAAGTAAGTTTATGGCCATTTGATGGAAAAGAAGAGGTATTGATAAATGCTGGAGAAAATTTGAATAGAATGCGTCAATCATGTATGCAAAAAAATATAATAGCAACTGGAGGATTAGAGAATAGGCTAAAATTATTTGATTTAGAAAAACAAGAACAAATATTCAGTGAGAAAAATCTTCCACATGACTGGCTGGAATTGAGAATACCAATTTGGATATCGGATTTAAATTTTTTGCCAGGAACCCAACAGATAGCTACAGTTGGCAGATATGGGCATGTAAAGAATATAATTTTTTTGTAAAACTAATCTCACAAATTATTTACAATTGCAAAAGTATACATTGATGCGGGAATAATTTGATACACAGGTACACTTGTATGATCCAAATGCGCAAAGACGTCCTGTAATAAATTTAACGATTCAAGGTGAAGCTTTGACCTGCTTAAGCGTGACGCCCAAAAACAAGTAAGTTTTGTATATGCCTATGAATTCCCATGAATATATATTATAACTGATGTGTTTTATAGACATATTATAGTTGGTTCGGGTAAAGGTAGGATGAATCTCATCGATCTGAGAAAACCAAGCACTATATTGAACACATACAAAGGATTTGCCGGCGGTGTAACTGGGATAGCTTGTAGCACGAATAATCCATTTGTTGCTAGCGTTAGTCTCGATAGATACTTACGGATACATCATATTGATACAAAGGAACTTTTAAAAAAAGTAATTTCTTCCTGCCTCCTTTCTTACTCTGTTTTCCAAAATTTGAAAATATTTAAAACATTACAAAAACTTGTAATTCTCCCATATTTTATCTTGTATTACAGATTTATTTAACATCAAGATTAACGTGCCTGGTAATGAGATCAGATTTCTCTATGGAAACGGGAATTGAGCCTGCAAAGAATATTTGTTAACGTAACTTTATATGAATAAAAAATTTTTTTTTAAGTGCGTGTGTAAATACATCTTATAAATTTCATATATTTTTTTTTCAATACTCTATACTCGAATCACAAATTGTACATAATTTATTCTAGAATGTACTTTTGCTTACGTATAGTTTCTTGTGAAAAAGAAAAGAAAGAAGAAAAAAGCATTTCAAGTTATTTTGAAGTTATTTGGAACTTGGAATTTTGTGAAATGAAAAAGTTTGATTCGGGGCGTCACTATCTAAAAGAGAAATTAAATGTGTAGTCTCTAAATAAACATTCATGTACTTAAGTATGTACACACACACACACACACACATAATATATATATATATATATATATATATATATATATATATATATATATATATATATATATCATCGCTTGGCAAGACTGTCGTCTCGCATTTTGAACAAGGAACAGGGATAATATGATAACAGTAAATTGAATTATAATTATGCTTTATGCATAAAAAGTATTATTTGTTGATTATTTATTGTACGGTCTAATAATTATCATTAATATCAGATTGATAGCTTCTACTTTGGTTCTTGATGCAGCATGTACCGAGTTCAATCACTTATTCCTTTCAACTTGTCTCTCTAATATTATGTAGAATGAGAAGCGCTAAATATTTTTTCTGACTACTGTCCTACCGTGCCCTCAACAAGTAACAAGTTGTGTTAAAGCTAGCAAATTTGCAGCGTACGCTGTGTTATAGCACAGTTTTTAATAACTTTAAGTAGAAGATGGTAAATGTTGCAACATACGCATTTTGCACTAAAAAAAATTAAATAAATAAATAAATAACGCTCACGACTGCAGCACATTAAATAGTACTTCTTAACTGTACAAAAATTTTTGTTCAAGCTCTACGTTTCCTGTTAATTAATACTAATATTTAACTTGTATTCCGCGACTGTGTTTATAACTCTAGGAGAATATTTATATTCCATACATCTCTCTCTCTTTCTCTCTTTAAAGATATATATATATATATATTTACTACATTTACAGGCACTATCCTCCTTCAAAATCTCTATACCATCACCTGCATGAATATGAAAATGAATGAAAATCAGCATCAAAAGGTACAAAATTTACATTTTATATGGAAAAAAATTTTTTTTTGTAAAGCTTGGAATAAAGTTTCTGAATAGCACTGGGCTTCGACTATAAGAGTGCTTGCTTCTTCCACTCTATTGTGAAACTCTTTTTCATTTAAAACAATATATCATACCTATACATTCCAGCCAACAAAAAACTCTTACATCATAATTTTCATTTTCCTTATGAAATATGATGCAATGATTATTTATATAATAATGCAGGATTTTACTCACTGTTTTTTATGTAAAAAGAAGATTTGATACATGGTATAAAACTTTAATGCCATACATACCATTGATGAATAGAGCAATTGCAAAATATATATTTCTTATTAAGTCACCAGTGATGTTAAGGTGATCTATTTATTATATAAGATCACTAATTATAAAAAGACATTAGGTATTTGCACATATTAACACATTTCTTAGAGAAATTAACAAAAAGAGAAAAATAGGTTGTGTTTTTACAAAAGAAAAACTTAAATTTATAATTGGAGATATGTATTATGGTAAAAAAAATTTTATATATATATATATATATATACACATACATATATATAAAAGAAAAGCTTCGTAGCAACAAATTCGTCCTTAATGAAGAGAATATCTTTCACAGAGTTTTATTTTTAATCTTGACATATATCCTAATTATGTAAAATCGAAAAGAATATCTACAAAATATCATTTACATTTTTCAAAGGATGAATTAAGCACAAATTGTGTAATATAAAGAACATAAGCATGATTAGATCGAGATACGGGTATATCTCCAAAATCTTTCGTTCTTTCGAAATTCAGCGTTCCTCCAAATGCTCAATCATTGAAGGGAATCGTATTCTGAGCAAATAACGGCGCAGCTACCTATTGTCCCTGGCAAAAAGCTCGAAAATCTAATGTGTAGCATGTCTGTATAGCATTTGTACCATAAAAAATTAAGCTTAAGTGATTTTATACATTATACAGAGCATCGCGTGTTTGTTACAATCATACATTGCGCGCCCGGCAAATTCCTTCTTTGTATCTATTGCCGTCTTAAATTCCTAAACGGGTATCTCTTATCTTTCGCATACATCATATACTTTCCTCTTTCCCCCTTTCCTTTCTGGTGCGAGTCGTCGTTAATCAACCTTACTCGTATACTCACAAAGAGCATGAGCGATAACAACAAAGGATGTACAAATATATGCAGTCCTTATGTTATTACAGACCACTGCTGCTGTGATTAAAGCAACGGCGATTCAGTTCGATTAATCGTGCGTGGCGGCACGTGAAGAGGGCAACAACTCATTCTCCACCCGAGACACCCGAGACACATATATTTATCACGTCCCGCCACGCTGCATCTTGACTTTGATTCACTAATGTCGATTGAGGCTCCGAGAGATCCGATGTAACCGGACTGAGCGGTGGACTAGGTGTTGCGGCGAGCCCTTCTTCGGACCGATCCATCGTTTCGGCAGCATCCCGCTGTTCGACTTCGCCGTCGGGAAGCGATGTTTCTGATTGCGCGGAACTGGGAGTCTTCGACAGGAGAGAATCATGCGCCCGCAAAGAAATAGAACAATCTTTATTGCTATTAGCATCCTCACCTAGAATCAACAAATGGAGATATTAATACAATAAGAGATCATTTGTCGACAACGCAAGATTTGTCCCCTTTTACTCCAGAAATCAAAACATGTGCCAAAATTTACTCCAAATTAAAATTAAAACACTCAACTTTGACTGTAAAAGTAATGGAAAGAAGAAAAAATCAATAATATACCTTGAATTGTGTGTGATTTTGTGTGTGTGTGTGTGTGTGTGTGTGTGTGTGTGTGTGTGTGTGTGTGTGTGTGAACAGAACGTGTAATTATTATAAATTATTTGCGAGAAAAATTTGTTAAAAAAAAGACATACCGCAAGGCCTAAGAACGAGGTAGAAGAGCAGATCAGAGAGAGATATTATACCAATCACTTTATCGTCATCGTCGATCACTACTAATCTATGAACCTAAAGAAAACAGAAAAATATAAGCCTTATTTATGTAACCTTTTAAAATAATTTTAGCATTGATGAAGATAGATCAAGACCAATTATGCTGAATTTCAAAAGAAGAAAAAGAAAAAAAAAACATTTCCTTACTTCCGCTCTGACAATTTTTTCCATTATAGTGAACAATGTCTCGTCTAATTTGCAACTTTGGACACCTTCAAACCATTCATTGCGGTGTTCGTTTGCTTCGCGTAACGAAACATCTAAATTATTATACGTTTTTTCTGCAGCCAAGTTCTGAAAAAATAATAACATATTAATCTCTCTATTAATGTATCTGTCTGTGTATGTGCATTGCAATCTCTTATACAAATATGAGATTTAGAAAAAAAATGTGACTTACGATAACGTCAAATTTTGAATAGATATTGACCAATTTTCCTTCAGAATCGACAATTGGTAATGCCGAGACTCTCCTTTCGACAAATTTTTTCAAGGCTAAAATTATGCTAGTTTCTTCCGTAGCTGTTTCTATATTCTCAAAAGTGCCTATCCTCAATTCCCTCAAAGTTTTATTAGTGAAAGATGGTTTTGGTAACTCGTGGATCTGTAGTTTATGATTTGAGATATAGATTAAAATATAGATGGAACACATTTACTCGGCATTTTTATTCATAAAATATTCGAATACTCACATATAGGAAAAGGAACCTAAGTATTCGTTTATGCGTCAAAATATAAAGAACGTTTCCGGTATCGGGGTCTATCACAGGCAATCGGTGGATTCTGTTTTGTATCAAAGTCCTGATGGCCTCGTACAGCGATGCATCTGGCCCGATACTTACGAGAGGATGAACTTGATCCTTTAAAACTTCTGAAATCGACACAATTTCCCAAATATAATTTCTGGATGCTCCACCGACGAGAGAAAAGTGTGTGTGTGTGTGTGTGTGTGTGATATATTGTAGATTAATTATTCTATAATGAATTTTGAAACACGAGATATCCCGAGAGAGAAAAGAATCTTACTTCTCCATGTATCCAATTCATGCTCTTCCAACTCGTCCATTGTTACCGATGGACTGGTGTAGTACATCTGGAGTATTTTTATGAAATCCGTTATAGTTAACATGCCAATAAACTGTTGTCGAGAACTGTCCCATAACGGCGCGGCTCTCACTCCTGAAAATATTTCAATATTATTCTCGACACAATACTATTTCTCTCTTCTCTATAAAACTATTGAATTTCTCTTGTAAGCACAATAAACACACGCAAACTCACCATTATAGACGAGAGCGAAGAAGGCCTTTTTAACGAGTAGATGAGTGTCAAAGACGACTAGTTTGGCGCTGGTCGGTATTAGGTCGTAACATTTGTGAAACTTGAAGAATTTAACAAAGATCTGCGACTCGTCCTCCTCTGAAATCCCAAATAGTTGAAAGAGTAGAGAAGAGCCCTTTGTACTTTTCGCACAGTGATAAGATTTACGAAGATTGTATAAATTTGCATCGAATGCACGCAATTTGCTCATGTGTGTCTCGTGTGCGCATTATTTGTTTCTGCTTAATGTTTAATTAATTGTAGAATAATGCAAGCAGTCCAAGTTGTAGATGAAAAATTTAAAGAATTTTACATATAGTTTTATAATACATTATAATTCTGCGAGTAAACGTTTGAGCATCTGAGAAAAGTTATTATTCCACGTTTTTATTATCCCACGAATTTTTATAAAATTGAACAAATCCACGCTTATCGTCAACAAGATTGCTCTTGACAATGTCCACCACAATTGAAATATAATAACTGTCAATCAATTGAAAATACATCAAGACCTTTCGTTTAATAATAACACGGCAATATCAATGACCTAATTAATGATATCGCGAAATTGCGATTATTAGTATACGGAAAAGCACGATTATACATACATTCAGGAAGATATTCGTTAAATATCGAGATGCAAACTATTGTCCATAGGAATGGTACACGAGAGTCAAATGCACGCATAATGACAAAGAATTCAATTATAAAGTGATTATACGCGTAAAGAGATACACGTGCAAAATAAATATGTATTCCCCCCTTCATTTTATATAATATAAATAACTAAATATTATATACTTGTAGAATATACTACTATTATAAAAGTTATCTCTTCTTCTTTTTTAATAAACATACTTGAACAAGAAAATGGAAATTACTTACAGATAATCCAGCCATTGATTTGCCGTGTATATACACGTACATACGTACGTACGTATGTGCGTGTGTGTACTAGCGTAGAAAAATTGTATTGCCGTTCGGAATTTATTATCCGTGAAAAACCGTCCTACTCTGCATTTCCAGATGAAATTTTAATAAAATGTCCTCAAAATACACAATCTTTATAAGCAAATTTAGTTAATAAATTAATTAAATGCATCTAGAATTAAATTAATATAATGTAATATCGATATATTCTTTCGCACGTATTCATGTATAAAAACAAAAATCTTTATGCAACAACGTATTCACACATAGACGCTGTTTTATTCGTAGTGTCGTCGTTTCACTTTTATCCAGGGAATTCGTTTACATTAATACCGTGCGCGAAATCTTTCGAGATACACCAATGTTGATTAAAGATTAACGAATTAACAAGTAGCCGAACACAAGCGTGATGTGAAACTTCATGGTATGTATAATACGTATAAACCATCCTCCGCGGTTTTATTCTTCCTCGATATTACAACAACTTGGTGATCGCGCCCGATACCTTTGGAGAGGATCCAAGCGAGTTCGTCCTCGAGAGGTGGGTTCTCCATTTCAAATTCCTTGATGAGATCTTTCGAATACACGGGATCGTCGTCCTGACTCCACCAGGCAAATGTGACCTGCCTTAAAGCGGCGCGAACACTTTCGGAATTTGAGTAATAGTGTAAGGTCAGCATCATTTGACATTGTCGAGATTACGAGTGGAAAACCGTCTTACGATTATCAAATTGTCCCGAGAATATTCGATGCGATTGTTCCCGTCTGAAAACTCTGAATATTTCTTTGATGCGAATGCTCTTTATTCGGGCGGGGGGGAGGGGGGGGGGAACTATATTATACTCATTACGCTTCGTGTGGCAGTCGAGTTTTTTTTCTTTTCAATTTATCAAACGGTAACAGGTAACTCTTGGCAATTTTTCTCATTCTCTCACAAAAGTCCTCCTACCACTAAAATCTCCCCTTTACGACATTTTCACCCTTTTTGCTCTCTATACGATATCTTTTGAGAAGCGAGTCTGTGCTTCGTCGCCGGCGAACGCAAGCAACGACTGTCTACCAGTAGCTTCGGGTTTTACTCTTTTATCCATCTCTATGTCTTTCTCCTTCGCTCTCGCGCTAATTTCTGTTTCTTTATCGTCATCGTCAAATCAGAGAAGTGCCAAGAATAACTGAACTCGAGATGACTGGTGCTGCGTCTTGCCAAAACGAAAAGAACGAAGCGCGCGCGCGCGCGCGCGCGCACGCGCATAGACATCCGTCCTACCGTTCTTTTCATCGAGACTATGGACTTTCGGATCGGATTCGCTTTTAATAGTCGAGCAGCGGCGGTAGAAAATGAATGCCCGCGCAGTTCGGGCTTAGACTCGTTGGCAAAATTGACGGACCGCCTATGTCGAATATATGTTACGCTGTCCTCTCGAATCCTTTTATCTCTCCGTCACCCTTTGAAACCTACTACCCGCCGCCCACGCGTGTGTTCGTTAAACGCGAGATTTCAAAGTACTATCGTTAATGGAGCCAAGATTCTTATTCAGCAAGCACAGTTTCAAACAAAGGTTACAAATTTAAAAAAAACCTGCTACGACGATAACGATGTCGAAACATAAATTGAAGAGATCAACGTAAATTCCGTCACGTAATAACTTGGTAATGCGCTTGGTACCTCCCTCCCTCTCTCGCCTCCTCCACGTGACCTAGACCTAGATAGAAACTGCAGATGTGAGCGCAACGTAGAATACGAGTATACCGTACGATGGAGCGAAGCTGTATCGCGAATCCTTCCCTCTCGCCCTTTAACGTCAGCTAGCCTCCCGGGGAACTCATCGATCGCGACCGTATACCAGCAGGATACCTAGTCGGAAGACCTAGTTCGCAATACAATTTCAAGGGGAGGACTATGCGAGAGCTTTCGAAACACGTGGAAGAGACTGTGCCGTTTTTCTTGATGAAATCCAAACGTTATTGTTATTCAAAAAATTAATCTAAATTAAATTGTCACCAAGATGTTTATGATATTTCTCTCAATTCTTTGCGAGTCTCTTGAAATTTTTAATTTTTGTAATTAACCGAACAAGAAGACGAGGATGGAGAAAAAAATAACGAGTTGCGTGTAAAGCTTCAATGGCTTTTAACCGTTTCTTTGCAACGTGAAATTAATTTGTTTGACAATTTTTGCTTACAAATTTTCAATCCTACTAACGTCGAACGTTTTTGACGCGAAATCCATTCTTTCGATAAAGGGAGACTTTTTCTTCTCAATACGTACACATTACAACAGTAGCCATCTATTTAATATTCAATATCGATTCTCAATATTTACTATAATCGCGAGTTGATTCCATTTTTTTTGGCGTATGCATGAGGTCATGGGTATTTTAATATTTCAAAGTATTTGTGTAATTTGTTACGTTTTAAGAATTTGTGTAATTTCTTCTTTCGTATTTACATATTATAAACATTTATATTTAGTTGCGAGTGCGAGAGTAAGAGTTTAAGTTTTCAGCTCGCATCAACATACGCGCAGTTTGCGAATTGTCCTTTACGGAAAGAGAAAAGTATCTTGTAATTGTAAAGACTGAGAAATAATTGTCGCATATAACACAAAACTTACCAAGATCGGACAATGAGACTTTCTCCAGGAAGGGATCCACCACTGGCAGCTGTAAATTTGAAAAAAAAATTTGTAACATTTCATATCAATCGTTTTATTACTACTGGTATAATAGTTTCCGTAACAATAATAATAATAATAATAATAATAATTTCCTAGAAAAAAGGAAGAGATCTTGAGATTCTAAATTAAATTTCTACTCCCGCCAAATGGTCGTATGATGTGACATTTCTATCCTTGAATCAACAGTACCTCTTGCATTTCGGGTAGAATTAAAAAAAAATGGCACATCATATATATTTAAGATTTTTTATTGTTTATTGCGCGAGAGAGACGCATCATTTCTTTCGCGTATTTCACTTTCCACTTTTTCGTCTAATATTTTTTACTACGGAAAATAATGTATTTTACACATACGCACACACGCACACACACACACACACACACAGATTGTCTATAAGAAAATATACCGGAGTCCGTTTCAGCAAAGATCTCGGGCTGAAGGTATGTCGTCTCTTGATTTTTGTATACCAATTCGTTAAAACTCCGGAACTCGTAGTCTGCGCCACATCCGAGCTTCTAGCGATACTTCCGGTCGGTTCGCTCGTTTGACGTCGAAATAACATGTCGTATCGATTAAAACTGACAACGCGAAGTTAGATTACGAGAAACGTTTCGTCCACTCTTTGAGGATTTAATATAAAAAAAAAAAAAAATTGTACGTTCGACAAAAGTTTATCAAGTTGGTCCTCTTTCATCGAGTCTCGGTAGATATCTTCGTTGTTGTTTCTCGTCGCAAAATCATCTTTTGTTTTGGAATCGACCAAAGTAGTAATGGCCAAAGCAATTGGATTCAACGCAGTTTAAGGCTAAATTTTTCGTCTGACGATGATTATAGTGTCATAGCGAACGAATATACGTACAACGTTAACACGTCGCTCAACCGTCGCACCTTCGATATTCGTGAAATAATACGCGAGCAAATTATTCGAGGTATTTTCGACGATGGCATAACTCTCTCGGTTGCAAATTGTGGCTAGATGCGGCTAGATGCGTTGCAGTTTGCCAAGAAATTGCGACTTGTCGATAAACGTTCAAAGAGACGCGCGTTATTTTTGTAATTAAATGTGCGATCCCCAAATGTTTTCGGAGATGGATCCCCAAATAATTATCGAATTAGAGACGCACGTTCTCTCCGTTCTTATTCATTTATAAATTTATTCCTCTCAGAATCTGTGTACAAACGTGTGCGCTCTTTCACCTTTCCAATAAATTATTTATCGAAGCTTTTTAATTTTAATTTTCACCGTCATCACCAACTCGAAGATATTGAACGTTGCGCAAAAGATTGATCGCGTTGAGCCAAAATTTATCTCAAAAAATGAATTTGCGCGTAATGTTAAGATAATAAGAAGAAATTTGCAAAGCTAATTTTCGTCAAGTCCCTCGTAATTTGTGCGAGACTACAAGTAATTATACGACGTTTTAAACTTACGCTCGGTAACTTACGAGTTGTATCTCCGATCGCGATTGACAAATTCAGAATGATTACTTTGAAAATCTCTTTGCTATACTTGAAAAAAAGAAAGAAAAACCGATACACCATCGTTTTTTATTATTGGTTCGTTGGCTTGGAAAATGCTTCTTCTTCCCTTCCCCTTTAGGGTCATCTTTTTTTCCAACTTGCACGATTGGCTCATTCGATCCGCGCCAAGAATAGTAAAGCGACGACGACGACACATGTAACAAGTATAATAAACGAACGTGCGATAAAGGAGGGGAGTGCCGAGCATCTTTCGAGCGTTATATTTACTACGTCGTCGATAACTTGAGATATTTGGTTAAAAGCGATATCAAGCTGATTCGTAGCGGAAAGACGAAGCGCAAAGATATCGTGAAACGAAAGCGATATCGGTTTCCGCGGCTCGCGGCCTCGCGCGTCTAGTCGAATCTAAAAATATTGTTATATATACGATGGAGACACAATTTCTGGCCACGGCTTTTCTTTTTCTTTCTTTTTCTCTTTCTAATCGGTCGAAATGAATTTCGCACGGCGTCTACGGAAATAGCTCGCAAGGATGTAACTCTGTTACGTGATGCGTATAGAGGATTTTTGCAATAACACGTAGGCATACGACAAAGTTTCGATATAAACGCGGGACGCGTTTGCAAGGCCGCTATATAAGATAAAAAAGCACTCGTGCGTCATGGATGGGGACGACGAGGAACGCGCGACAACTTGTTGTTGACGAGGCGTCGCCGCGAATCGAAAAACCCCAACCGCGCGCGTCCGTAGAAATGTAAGGTAGGAATCGGAATTTCAAGCGACGTCGTCGCTTAAACAAGTCGGGAGATTTAAATGGAACGCCCACGCGAAAATTCCGTCGTTGCGCCACGCACTCGCCAACAAGTTTTGTAGCCGACAATTATCGAGAGACTTATCCATCCCAAATTCACTCGTAGTACTCGCCAAACGGGCGAGTGTCTCGCATAGCGAAGCATAAGCGAGTCGATAAAGATTTAAATGTATATGTATTTAATTAAAGCATACTGGGGCATGACGTAATGCGCAAAGATAATATCAACGCTGCAATGTATTTGTTTATATTTCTTTTTTAGCCGCGATCAAACGATATTCGAAAATGTAGAAACGAACAAGAGGAGAAGAGGAGAGGGCGGCATAGTTTTTTGGATTCGCGGGCGAAATTTAGCCCGTGTCAGAGTCGTAAAACGATCCACGCGTCGTGAGTAGTAGTGGCATCTAAATATAATTTTGAATCGCAATTGTTTACAAACAACTTGTCGACATTGGCATTCGGTCGGCCGACGAAATTTCAGCAAATTTCTAGTTCACATACACGCGCGCGCACACACACACACACCGTTACACATACACGCGTGTACATGTGTATATATATATATAAATATATAAATATATATATATATATATATATATATATATATATATATAAATTAAAGTCGGGCACTCTTTCGCATCGCATCGCGCACTTTATAATTGCGACGCAATAAAAGTTTTGCGAGCTCCGCGTACGGAATAGAAAACTTGTCTTTTCCGCTTTCTAGTCGAAACATCGATTATCTTGAAATCAGGCGCTTCGGTTACCAAAGTTACGTTATCACGATTATTTCATATCTCGTCCGTATTGCCAAATTCGCTTGTTTGTAAAAGTAAGTGAAAATGTTAAGGTCAAGGCCGAGACTAAAAGGTCGGGAGAATCTGTTGCTTGTGCAGCATCGCTCGTCAGCTGCGCTCCTAGCCGCGCGCGATGCGCATGTTTCTCTAGCAACAAGTGTCTGTATATTGTTGCTCATTGATAATTGGTGAGCACCGGTCCGCAAGATGCGAATTTAAAATTAAATTTCGCGTACCGCATTATTTTATTATTATTACGATTATTATAGGCGACAATGAAACATTTTCATCGCTTTTCATTTCTAACGTAAATACTGGCTCTGATAATAAATACCGCGTCAATTCTTATTGTTGGCGCTACGCGAGAAATAGGTGTAAGACTAGGCAAACGCGTTTGTGAAAATCAAGTGTCCGAGCGTCCGAGACAACTACTCGTGCGTACAACGAAATGGCATTTTTTAATTAATCCCATCGCGATTAGGGAAACGAACGAGTCGGCGCTTTCGAGCCCGACGCCGACAACCGCTTCGAGCCGCGCAGCAAATTTCTCTCGAAAAACTGACTAACCGATCGATGGATTGATTTCAATGCACTCACTCTCATCGTCATCCTTCTCATAAGAACGCGCTCTTGAAAATTTCACGACGGACGGAAAGTCGTCGCGTCGAGATGCCGGCACGAATAAGAAGCATCTCTCTCTCTCTCTCTCTCTCTCTCTCTCTAGGGTGCTACACCGATATTATTCGATAACGCTCGCGAGCACACAAGCCGATCGGTTCATCTTGACATCACTAGAGTCGAGGAAAAAAAATGAAGAAAAGACTCATCGCGATCGACTATAATAATCATCAATTTTCTCGCTTCGTCGTCAACGCCGGCTCGATCGCTCGCGTTCAACTGGATCATCCCGTTGAGACTGGCGCCCGATGGGGCTCTCTCGTCGAGCTTGCGACACGTTGTGTGTATGAAATTTACGGCGCATCGCTTTATATGCGCGTGACGCTTTATTTCGCGGCATCTTCGCATTGTCTCGAATAAATAATTGAATCCAATTAACGATTATCGATTTATTCGAGGGCTCGTTTCCGACTCTGTTTTGGAAAAACAAAAAAAAGAGAGAAAGAAAAAAAGGCAAAAAGCCAGAATGATGTCCATTTCCTCGGTCTCGTACGTTCAGATAATGGCATTCGCGCGCAGTATCTGCCGAGTCAACCATTGCATACGATAAGGAGCATCGATAAGCGTTTAAATATGTACTTGGCGCGTATCACGGAACGGTAAAATAAACGTAGGCGACAAACTTGAGACTCGAATCATGGCAAAGTAATATCTTATCTAACAATAAGAAATAAAATTGGCAAACTAATTGTAAGGAAAAGTAAACACGCTTAAAAAGATTAAGCTCGTTGTGCAACGTATACGTATATATACACATATACGTTATATTTTCTATATTATTAAAATATAATTTTTCGGGACACGCTATTATTATCTTTCGATAGACATTATTTTCTGAAAATTGGAAAGAGAGCGGAATGTCACAATCATGTCTGCATTTGAGATGCTACAAAAACGTTTTATTATAGGCGAATTTTATAAAATGTCAAATTTTTTTTAAATTGCAAACAAATCGAAAATACTCTAGTCTGTAACAAAGTAAAATAGTTTTACTCGCACGTTCGTCGATAACTTATCATTTATCGTAAGGATAAATTATCGACGCGTAGTAAAATAGTGCTCTGATATATCGATGTAAGAAAAGGTTTTTATCGACGTTCGAGTCTTGGATTTGTCGCAATATACACATGTATGTACATACATATAAGAAGAAGACACACAGCTCAAAATTGACATTCAAATTTAATTGTAATATGCTGCAACTTTCGCCACATTTCGTTATATTATAAACATAATCCAACAAAGATGAACGATAAAATATCCGTTAAATATCTCATGTTCGATATTCTCTCTGGTGAATATAAATACGGTGAAGAACTCTCATGTACATACATACATATATTCTCAACCTTTTCTCGTCGGTAAATCTTTCTCATGACCTAGATCCACAATACTTATTCATGGAATCGATACGCTACGATTTATTCATTAAATATCTTTCCGCTTTATCACGAAAAGCTAAAAGTAAATTATATTCCTTAATTTACATGTATACGCGGGAAAGAGAGAGGGAGATTCTTTGATAAATTTTTATATATAAATTTTCGTGTATTATTGCATTTCGATTAAAAAAATAATCGTTATGAAGTCAGCGGTATTTTCTGTGCGGATAAAAAAAATATTTACACACTTCATATATTTTGGAATGATTTTATACGTAAAAAAATATTATTAAAAAAGTTTTATATTAAAATATATTGTTGCTATTGTACATATCCCAGAAAGAGATGAAAACCTTTTTTTCCATAATATCTACACACAATTGATGAAACATGAAAAAAGAAATTGCTTTAGAAACTAATACACCCTCTTTAAACATGAGTATGTGTAATACTTGGAGAGCGAGATACGAAAATTATTAATTTAAATAGTTAAAAAAAATACTAAGGACACTTTTAAGGAATTTTTTTTATATTCGATAATGACACAATCAACTTACCCCCCGAGCATCCCTGAAGAGTATGGCAGCGTGAACCGGATCTAGGCAAGCATCGGATGCTCTGTGAGGTATTGCAGGTGCTCCAAGAGACAATCTTCGTGCTGTTGGATCCAATGAACTTCTTCTAAGCGCACCTGGAACAAAAATAATAATAATAATAATAATAATGACAATATATAAAAATTTTGTAATTATACATATGTATATTCTAGATTTTGTATATATACATATGTATATTCTAGAAATTGTGTGTGTGTGTGTGTGTGTGTGTAGCTTCTAGAAGAGAGAAATAACATTTATAGATGTATGAAAATAATTTTCCACTATATTAAACTATACGTAACGGCATGTATTTATCAAGTTTACATCATTGATCGACTTTGATCGATTATATCATACGTGTTCCATTATCATCAACAGTCATAACGGTTGCAATTAATCCAATTCTCTCAAGTTTCGTTCTTAATAACCTATGTAATATTAGACAATTCAAAACAAACGCGCAAAATTTTTGTCACGGCAAATTATGTCAAACGTGACTTGTGTTATTTACACATTATTACCATGTGCATAAAAAATATCATAAAAAATAAATAAATTATTAACCTTTTATACCTTTCAAAATTCGCACTATTTAATAAATTTCAATAATTTATGCTGCTTTTTTTAAAATTATCTCTCGTAAACAAATTATGCAAATTATTATAATAAAGTACTTATTTATGACATATGCAAATGTTTCATAGCACAGTATATCAAATAATGTATTATAAAGGATTACGACTGTCATTATGCAAATGACAGTCTGGCAACAGTTTTGTTGAAACAGATAATGCTACGTTATATAATAAATATTTGTAAAAAGAAAATTGCAAAGAGATATTACTCTTGTTTTCGTCCAATAATGTACGCATGTTTGCAATGCAGATTTGGATTTTTGTTCAATACATACATTTGAACAATGAGAAAATTAAAAGCAACCTTTTATTCGTTTAGTTAAAACCAACATTTTATTTCCTTCTAATAAATGTTTGACCCTATGTTTGTCTGGCGGTCAAATTCATTTTCGATAACACACATCTACTATTATCTCCATTGTAAAATAGAAGAAGATTGATATCACGATTACTGCCCACGAGAAACGCTTTGATCGCGGGCCGGGGTCTTGGAATTTTGTTTTTCTCTCATCGAAGGCCGTTTGCGCACGTTTCTATGATTAAATCCGCTTCCTCAGCGTGAGACGTTCAAGCGATATCCCGCTTTATCGGCGGTGTTTATTTCATATGAATGCGCGCTTCGCATTATATGCTCGTACAAGAATGAAACAGATGCTAGCCAATTACAAATTTGCAAATTGTTTCGCGACTCGATTGTTTTAGCTGGCAAATATATAAGATACGCGCAAGCAGACGACGTATGTATGCACCGTTTGAAAATTAATCCAATTAGAAATTTTCTAATTTTTTTTATACAAGACCGAAATAAATGCATATTTGTTGAAAAAATTTCAAAATCCACGTTGTTGTTGCGTATCGATAAAAGGGCAGGTGGCTAAAAAACAGCTTTGGAGAACGTGATAGATCGCGAAAGCGATCTTGCGCGTGCACACGCAAATGTTGCTTTTTATTTCTATTTCGTTATTTTGATTTGATTCAAATTATTACGACAATTTGATTTACTTTTAATGCTCCATTTTTTTACGAATATGCATAAAAGATGAGACAATGAATCTCCTACTTGTGCTTGTCACATTTGCAACAACTACAATGACAACTGTATAATCGAGTCGAGGCTTTCGTTTATCGATATGTAATTATTGAATTTGATGAAAAATGAAGCGAATCGGTGTGGAACCTCCAATCGGAAAATGGAAATGTTTGAAAGATTGAAACAACACTTGGATAAAGAGAAAAGATGTAGATGTATTTGCATATATAATCGCGTCGAGACATCTTAATACTTGAAGATAAAAGATGCAGAAAAAAATGCATAAATTTCCTCACAGCCTCACAGACATTAAAAGACTGAGATTTTTACACTGAGAACAAAAGATACTATAATTATAGATTGAAATTGTAGTGAGAAAAATAATTGCCTTTCTCGCGATGTGCCGCTGTCGCGCGTATTAAAATTAACGATTGTTTTATTTATTTACGATACTCGTCGTATCTAGGTATAAACGGGCATGTATTTTGGCAAGAGGACGTGTGTAACGAAACAATATTGTACGAATGATCAATTTAGCGACACGCGAGAACGTCCACACGCGTTTGTAGTTGGTATGAAAACATGTTGCGCAATGATAGTGGAAAATTGAAACGGTAGAGCAAATGAGTCTGACGAAGAAAGAGAAAGAGAAAGAGAAAGAGAAAGAGAGAGAGAGAGATGCAATTCAATCAATTGTCGACATTTCTTTTTTTTGTTTTTAACTCTTTTCTATACACACGCTTGGCTCTTTGCAAATTCTATTTCATCGACATTGATAAAGAGAACGCCAAATTATTCGCCTGTTGCTTCCTTTCCGAACTATGACAGACATATCTGCATTAATAATAAATATTATATTGCAAAATGCATCGTCGATAAATAGTCGATTTTTACGAGCCGCATGTGTCCAAAGTAAAATAGTATTATCGTAGACACATTACGAGGGAGAAAAAAAAAAGAAAAAAAAAGGACAAGAAACGTTCTTTGAGAATTTAACAAGGCCGATGCGATGCATTCCGTTTGTCAGGATCAGCTCACGTTTGCTCGCGTGAGTTACCTTGCCTGAGTATGCTTTCATAAATCCTGTAGGTAGTCTCGCAATCGGTCTCTTGCAGGCCAGCGGACGGTCTGGCGCCGCCGTCCAAACTCTGACTTCTGTTCCTAAAGTCCTCCTCCCGTTTCTTGGGACTCTCGTGACACTCGCTTTGCCGTCTGATGTGTCCCAATCTTCTACCGAAATGCCGTATCATCTCCTGTATGCTATGATGATGATGGTGTTGTCTCTCGTGTTCGTTGGTCGGACTAGGTGACGAAGGAGAAGACGACGCTTTACCGCTGCTCGCTGCCCGATGATGATGCTGATGGTGATAATGATGAGAAGGATGATGATGGTGGCTGTTACCGTGAAACGTGTTGTGCAAGAATTGATGCTGATTGGACGAGTTGGAGCCGCAGGACGAGCCGTAGGACGAGGAACCGTACGAATACGCGGAACTGACCGAGCCGCGGGACACGACGTGTCGCTCGTGGAAGTAGAGCTTGCTATCGTGTTTCTGGTTCAGCAGCTCCTGCAGAAACCTCGTGTCGTGATTCCGGATGTCCGACGACGCGGAGGAGGTGAAACTTCTGGTATCGCTGCCGTTGTTGTCGGAGCCATGATGATGAGACAAAAGGTGGCTTATTCCGTGCATTTCACGAGACGGGCGTGTCGCAAACAATGACTCTGATATCGTTGAGCGGAAACGGTCGCGGCACAAGTTTCGCAGCGTTCATCGACGTCGCGGAATCTGCGAATAACGCGGCCAAGTAATTTCGAAACGAAAACAGAAGGGACGATAATCATTTCCCTTCCGTTCCCTCCGTTTGCCGCGAATTATTACGGCAAATAACGATTCGCGTACGTACTCGTATGCGAAGGCCAAATATTCGTGTTACGAGTTAAGAGTGCTTTGCGCGCGTCTCGTCGGCGAGTCTCGGCATTCGACTATAAAGAACAGCCTTCAAATAAATGAATAAATACAAATCGAGCGATACATCTACGCGCGACATTTAATATCTAATACTTCCGACTTGCGCGTGTTTCAAGTTTTCTCTCCCTTTTTTCAACGCTCGCGAATATCTTTTCGTAGAGAGAGAGAGAGGGAGAGGGAGAGAATTATATTTCTTTCGTATATCTCATCGTATATTACACGATAAAGACAAGGCGTTCACTTACACATTCCATTTACTTTGCGCACAAAGACAGCGTGCTTTATTCTCTCAACGAGACAAATAATAATTACTAATTCTTGTTTGCGAATGAAAATTACTCTAAAAGACATTAAGCATACAAAAATACTCTTCTCTCGTTTTCCGTCTTGTACACGAGCTATTTCAACAGCTGCTCGAGCAGCTTCATCATCGGTTCTACACGTTGAAAATTTTCGAAGAAAACTATGCGCGCGTATTACGTCAATTGGGCCAAAATTTAGCGGAAAGAAAATGGAAGTCACATTCGATGCCAATTAAATTCTGGCGAGCGCGAGTGAATCCTTTAATAAAGCTTCGCGAACCAATCGGCCGCTTCTCGCGAGAGACGCACTTTTGTCGAGTAAAATTTAGCTTTGGCGCATTCGATTAAAATATTAAAAATATACGTATATAAGAGCGGGGGTAAACTTAACTCGTGTATACGAATAACGATATAATAACGCAAGCTGCTTTCCTCGAGTACGATTCAACGATCGTATGACGATAACCGAATTGTATAATTTAATAGAATTGTGTTATCGCGATATACGTAACACGACGAAAGAAAGAAATGGATAGTATCGCGTCCGAGTATCTGAATTCTCAAAATTCACGAAACGTACGATTACACGTGCCCCAGCTGCGACCGCGTTGCGTTGCGTCACTACGCAGAAAATTAAGATATTCAGAAGGAAACATTTATGACACGACACTGATTGCGTGATTAGCGGAAGCAGTCGCAGTGCCGCCAATTATTAAACAACCGAGAACGACACAGCTTCGCCGTTTATCAATGCGTTACTGGTCAACGCGTCTCTTTTCTTTCCTCGCAAAACTACAAATGCACTTTTATGTTCTCTTCTTTGACGTTTTTCACGTCGTTTGAAACTCCGTTTTCAAAACGGAATTTTTATACTCTCGTCTCGAGCTGTCGATTTCTACAATTGCGTCTCCGAAACGGTAAATTTTGGAGTCGAGGGTGAGGAAAAAGTAGGTCGTATCGATCGAAGTCCTCCGAGAGGCAACCGTTTAGAGATTGTTGTCTCGGCTCAAAGTAACGTATCGACAAGTTACGAAACGATAGCGAATCGAATCTGAGATTCGAGCGGAAATTTGCGAGTTAATTAAAGAGCGAACAATCATTTTGACTCGAACGTAGCGACCGTAGCGACTTTATATACCTACGGATTTATCTCATTAAATGACGACGTTAATATTGCTTTTTGTAAAACGAGATAAACGAAAAAATTTTCAATAATGCCTAAGAAATATACAACTAAACACAAAGTACCACTTTTTTTGCACATTGCAAAAGTTGGTAACAATTTAGATGATGACTGCAAACTTTTATACAAAAATAGCGCTGCAGGGCATAGATTTGACAAACATCCGCGCACATTATTTATATGCAAATGCAGTAAATTTATAATTAATGAACTTGTGTTATATGAATTAAAAATATGAAAATTTAAACATTTTCCGTGTTTGAAAAAGAGGAAAATTTTATATTTTACATATTTTTTTACACACATTATTTAAAAGCTAGCGATAAGAAAAATACGTTTTTTTTTTTTTTTAAATGACGATAAATACGTATTGAATGACTGAAAATATTGAATAAACAAAATTACTAATAAAAAAATAAATTTATACAATAAATATATATATATATATATATATATATATATATATATAAGAAAGAAATTAAATAACATTTGATTATTCATTTCACACATATACTATTTTAACATTCAAATTAAATAGTGTAAAACTGCAAACAATTTTCAAACAACGATGAACAAATCTGTATCATAAACACTATATACGTGCTAATTTAACAAAGACCTTGAATCCTTCTCCTTCCCCCCTACAAAAGACCGCGTATATATCTATAACATCTCGCAACACAACGCGCACGGTAAATTCAATTTAGCAAAACGCCCATGAGAGAGAGAAAACTTGAACAATTGAAACAAATCGGCGGCAGATTCTATCTCACTTTGAGCGCAGAATTATCCATTTAAAAATTAAAACACGTGCTCGCAAATTGTTATACTTTAGTGGGTACATCTAATCGATTGCCTGTTTCAAATGCAAGAAATATACATATGTATGTGTGTATTAAATGAAAAAGTCCTTAAAAATTCCTTGCCTTTTTAAAGATGATTCCGCACGAGAAAACTGACGATGCTCGATTCAATTGTGAATAAAAGTTAATGTACTTTGATATTTCTGTTTGATATGCAAATAATTCTTTGTCTCCCTTTGTGTCCCTTTTGACATTCCTCTTAATAATTTTATATACAAATAAAATGTATATTAAACAATTTATATATTTATAATTTACAATTTATATATTATTTACAATGTACGTCCGGTAATTGTTCCAGCGATTTAAGCGATAATAAGATATTTAACGATGCATTACGAAACGAATCGCATAAAAAAATATTTTTCGTTTTAATATTTTGTATAATAATGAGCCAGATGTGAATTCATTACTTATCGTACTTGTTATTTGTAAAGACCTCTTCGAGATTGATCTTTGAATACCGTGGGCGTCGAGAGATTAATCGATTAATCTCTCCGATTAAATTTACGATACGTCCGTGTGTAACGTTACATGATATTTACTTATCGAAAATTTAAGTCTATCGTCTGGCTACGTCTGCAAATGTTATCAAAGTTGCATTCTTATCGTATGAAACGCCAAACGCGCGATTGTGAACCGCAAAAAAAGCAATGTAACACCGTATGCGTGCACTCGGTGTAAAAAAAAGTCTCGATACAGAGAAAAAAGTTGAAGACGTCAGCGCGCGCACACTCGTATTTGGATTTTCACGCGTCAAAATTGTCGATTTAAAAATGCTTATAATAATTGAAGTGTCGATTAAAAGATGCTTACATTAATTGATATATGTATATATCGTAGGAATTTTTTTATTAATTAATTTTAGTTTTATATATGAATATTTTACATATGAATATTTCTCACAATATATGACAAGCGAACAAAACCTTGCGGAAGCTGAGTCGATTATCAGCGACTCAGCGTCATGTGCGTACAAACATCTTTATACGAATACGAGGCGCATCGAGACACGCGTCTCTTTCAAACGGTTGCGCGAGTATACGAGTCCTAGTTACTTTTGAGGCCGAGTGTACTCGCGAGCGCGCCAAACTCTTGGTATCGCGTCATAAATTTGCCGTACGGCTTTTGACGAGTAATTTTTCATAATTTACATAACGCTCTTGAGCGTTTGTCGACATTTCTAAGCGGTTTACGTCTACGCGTTTCCAGCTCCCCGAACAATCGACGTACGAATCTGCGCGCGCGCGCGCGAGACCGGTTTTTTTCAAGGCCAGCGAAAACCCTTCGCTCGCCGCGCGTCGGAGCACGCCGGGGCACGCCGGGGCACGCGTCAAACTACTATTCGATTCTTGGTCTTGGTGTCGTCTTGGTGCCGCGTTCTAATTTTACATACATGTATGAACGAGCCCCTCATTTTTCTCGCGGAAAGGACAATAATATTCCGTTTGTTTTAGACACGTTTGTCTCACGGCTCTATCGACTTGTCCCCTTTAATATTTATCTTTTCTGTCCTTCTCTCGCGCTCGAGATCGACATCTACGTGCTCTCGTGTACTACATCCATTTAAAGTCGAAATCGTCGAACGCGTGCGCGTCGAATGCGGCTAAAGAGGAACGATGTGAATGACGTAGTTGGGTCGAACAATGCGGAGAAACGTTGCAATGTCGCCGCCGGTTAAGGTTGATCCAAACGATAAAAATTGCGCTTTCCCTCTCTGTCGCGCGACAAACGGTTAGGTTACGTAATAACGAGAGAAGCCGAGGGAAATCCTCGGTTGTCGAATGCCGAGGAGGCGCCGGAAAGAGAGACGCGCATCGCGCATCTCTCCGCGTTTGCGATTTAGCAATTCTAGGCTCTTGTGCCCTTTCGTTTCGCGAGAAGGCCGAGAAGGGGAAGGGAAGAGGGATAACCGTATATGGGATATATACGGATGTAGCGGGAGAGAAGCAAACTTACGAACAAAACGATGCGAATCTTATCCGTTTTTTGCAGACGGGTCTCTCGGCCGTCGACAACGCAAACACGTGATAACGAGACTCACCTACTTTTGGTTCTCTCGCGTTCTAATCGCACACGCTAAAGAAACTCTCTTAAAGAAAAGAAAGAAAGGGGAAAAAAAAGGAAAAAAAATATACTCCGGCTCGAGTACAAGGTCACATCTACGCGTGACGTAACACGTAGAGAATCAAGGAAGAAAAAAAAAGAAAAGAATTATCCCGTATTAACACTGTGCCGTACGATTCGTTGAAAACACGGCACTGCCGTTCTTCCCAAACTCACTGATAACACACCGATCACAAGCGTCGTCGATACGCTACAAACGACACGTCGCGATGTGCGATGTTTACGACGAATGCAAGTTTCATCCCGTGAATCATTGACACGCTTGTCACGTTCTCGGACGTACGCCGTACATTTTAAGGACACGGCGATAGCGACGCCGACGCTGACGCCGACGCCGGCAATTAAACACGTAATTAAAACGTCACGACGGAGAGGCGCGAAATTTCGCGAAATTTCGCAGCGAAAACATTCGAGAGCGACGTAACCGCTAATTTCGAGTTACGCGGGCATCGCTCGCCATTGAAACGCGCACTGCTACTGCCTTCGTTCGACGTACGACATACGACACACTTGCACCGCGCACGCCGCATCGCGATACGCGATACGCGATACGCGTTTCGATTGACGATTCGCAAAATTCAAACAGCGCCATCTTTTCGGCTAAAGCCTCAACTATGTCGCGACTCTACGGTCGATCATTCTCGATGGGTATATCACTTTTGTGATACCGACAACTATATATTACATTAATAATTCTGTGCGTGTGTATAGACACATCCTTGTTTGGATGATACGTTGCACGAATGTAAATTATTTGTATATTAAAAATTAAACGTTGCGTAATAACTATAAATCCTAAATCAAATTTATTCTCCCTCTAAACAAATTACTCTTATGCGTGTACAAAATATGAATACGTAATAAAATTGGAAACGATTATCGATGTTTGCTACGCGATAAAAAATGGCAACATCTATCTCGAATAAATTTGTCGTGTGAAAAAACGATTCTCTTATGAATGTCGAATGCTCAAGTAGAAATTAATATCTAGAATATTAATATCTAGGATATTAATTTCTATTTGACATTGATGAAAGAATCGTTTTTTTACACGACAAACTTATTATATATATATATATATATATATATATATATATATATATATATATATCTTTGTCTTTTCTTCATATACACATATAAATTGAAGAAACAACTAATAATTTAGAAAATTTGGCAATCTCTCCGTTTCTAATGTAAAAACATAAACAGAGGTTGCACATCTAACGCGTTATCAATTTGAGCCACATTTATCTCGAGACGCGTCTTTTCTCTCAATAACAAGATTAGACAAACTTTAATGCAATATGATCACAAAGGTTACTTACTCTGCGACGCTACTTGTGTCTGATGTTGTACTGCCGCTCTCTGAAACAAAAATGAAACGACTCACAATGATATTTATTACATTACGCGACAAGTTTTTTATTCATTTGTCGGACTTTTGGTCATAATAATTGCATATATTTTATAACTTCCATGCAAAATTAATCAATTATGCAAATATATGTAAACATCCTGTTTATCGAAATATAATAACACGTGGATATAAAAAATATAATTACAAGTGTATGTGTATGTGTATAAAATTATATTTTATAAATTTACTCTGTACATTAATTTTGTTTCTACGTATATTTATATATTTTTTCTAATTTTAAATATAAATGCACATATTTAATATAATTATAAATTATACGTTATAAATTATACGTATAAATTATACGTACGAAATATTTTACGCGTCTTCTCGATACATGTATAAATAGAGAAAAAAACATAATAATAAATTAAGAATAAATTAAAAATGTATCGTATATATTTCAATATCGAGAATATCGATGGGACGACCATTGCTATATATATATATATATATACATATATATATATATATATATATATATATATATATATATACAAAGACGTTGTTTATCGAGAAAAAAATTAATTTACATTTTGCAAAATTAGTCGAATGCCGGACGCTTCGAGACTCTTGGCATCCAAGGAGCGGCTTCTCGGTTTTGCACCGAAATAATCGTCCTTCTTGCCGCTCTTTATCCATTGGAAATACGAAGACATTTCCGAATTTTCTCTAGTGTCTATTTATCCTTTAGGTTTCTCGTAAACTGCACGCATAACTGAATAATTAAAGTTGCGTCATTTGTTTTATCCTATTTGTCGATTAACGAATTGAGAATTTGAAATTTCTCAAATTATACGCGCGACCTTTGTAAACAAGATTTGCTCGTTTGAAAAGTAAAAAAAAAATGCTAATTATGGAATCTGACCGATTGGCAGAAACTCCAGCGACGGATTAAACATTTTGGCGCCCCTAGGCAGCGTACATTTTGCCGCCCCTAATCCAAGGTATAGTCGCAGTGTCAGATGTAGAACCGGAAAGCAAAAAAAAAAAAAAAAAGTACAAAATATGTATCAATTTTCTGTTACCCCTGCATTAGCTGGTGAAAACATAATATATTTTTTAATATTTTCACGACCCCAGACAGAGGCGGCGAAAATTTTCTGTCTTTGAAAATTTGCCGCCCCCTCAAATTTGCCGCCCTAGGCAAATGCCTAGGTTTGCCTCTAGTGTTAATCCGTCGCTGACCGATTGGCAGAAACTCATCTCTTTCCATCTTCGATATCTCCTTGGATTCTCTCCTGGATGTTGTCTTTCGAGTTAATGCGGTAATGTGAATTTCATGTGTGACCGTGACATAACATAGGCGTATATTATCGCCTGTGCGATAAAAAAAAGAGGGAAAAAAAAGAAACGACGAACTCTTCTACCACGGTGTAGCACATATGCCACAGGTGCAGCGCACATGCTTGTGTCAACTATCGTTCGGTCATCTCGTCTTACAAACGATCACGAATAATATCGTTTTTTTCTCTCCCTCCCTCTCGTTTTTCCTCCATGTATGTACATATATTCACATTATTGTCCGTGATTATTGTCTATCATTTCTCTTGGAATCTAATCGCTAAATTTGTCACTAATTTCGTCATTCTTTTATAATCTTAATTATCAAATAATAAAGAATAATGCACTTGTAACAGATAGACTCTTGTTATCGATATAATTACACTTGCGCATTTAGAATAATGGGGATAGAAATTTTTTCGGCATCGATCGAAAAGAGAATTCCACGACACGTGGAATTTATCTGAGATAGCGCAAATATTGTTATAGCGAGATTTGAAAAGCAACGTAAACAGCTCGAGATTTTTCCATTGCAAATTTCGCATTGTTGGTAACCCGCGTGACATGAAGTCGTCTTGCTTTTGATTTGTAACTTACAATGGAGAAGATCCAAGTCTCTTATGTAGATCTCGCAGTGGCAAAGCGAGGATCGGTCAATCTTTCAGATTCCATACGCGTGCACTTTTCTCCTCGAATTAAAAAATAATAATCCATCTTAACGATTAAGCGAAATTCAATGTTTGTAATTTCAAAATTGACATTATTATTAGCCTACGGATACGCTTATCGCTTTAAACGTTCGCCAATTCACACGACGCGATTCTAATATTTTTCTCTAAAAATTGTCGTTGAAAGAGAAATTAACGTTTTTTCTGGGTATTCGGCTTATTAAGAGAAAAATTTCAATTTGTTCCAAAGCTCTCATTCGTGTTGCTCCTTTATGAATCGATATCGATCGATCGATCGTCCGACGAATTTACCTAATCTATGCGCGCGAATCGATTATACATGCACTACACACGCACTATTGGAAAAATAACGCACGATAAGCACAAGCAATTAGTCTTTTTACGTGTTTAGTGTCGCAAGTATGACGAGTCACTGAGCGGACATGTGCCTCTCTTTTCCATCTCTTTCCGCTCGATACGCTACCTCCCACTAGCGATGGCTGTTGTGCACTGTATTTTATTTCGTCACAAACACATTGTCGAAACACCTGTTGGTACGACGAGAATTATACGAGCATCCAAACAATCCCGCCGAATAATTCTTATAAGGAGGAACGCGCTTTTCTCACTTAATATTCCAACGTATTGTATTAAAATGAGCCGTATAACCGACAAACGCTTGTATTATATTCAGTCTCATCTTGAGTAAAGATAAGAAAAAAGTATGTTATATAAATATTGTGCGCGCGGTCCATAAATGCTTTATCAACAAGTCGTAGCCGAAATACAAAATAAAATAGGATAAAGTCTTTAATTTCCTTCAGTTGCATTTATTGTTATCGAAAGAATAGACTATGTCAAAATTTTCATTTTTATCTATAAATAACATACCGTCCACGCAAAACTACTACGTCGATCATTTACGACTTGCACATTTTATACAGCAATCTATTTTAATTTTGCTCATATGATGTTCCGCTCATACGATGCGGTCAATCGCGTTAAAAACTCGGATATTTTCTGTATAGTTGCGAGAGATTACACATCTTCCTAAATATATATATATATATATATATATATATATATATATATATATATATATACGTAGTATATCTCGTGAAAAACACGTAAAATGAGAGAAAATCGATTATTATTTTTGTAATTATTGCCAATCGAATATATAGAATATATCTCGATACGCTTTTAATGCAACGCTTATGTTCAATGTCTCTTTGTTATCATTATTTCGTTTCCTCATTACCGACTTAATTATATATAATCACGATTACACGTTTACATTACGTGCTTTACATTACAAACGATAGGATATTATTTATTCCATTTTCGTCCATTTGATAACAATTTCTCGGTTGATAACAATTTCTCGGATCTTAAATTAAGAACCGAAAGGCAAAAAGATGGGAAACGTTCTTGCCTACGTACTCTCACTTGCTTACGTGCGATAAAGAAGACATCCATCTCCTAAGGTAAATTCTCGACGCGAGCTAATTATAGTTTCCTTATTCTCTTCAAGTTACCGTGTCAATTTGTTTCGTCTTTCTATCTAATTTATGTTATGATATTTAGATTATAAAGATTTTGCATCAAATGTATCTGACAATTTCAAATTTGTGTTTAATACGAGTGCGTGCTTGAATATGAATAACAAAGTTAAATAACAACTTATAAAATGCTAAGCTAAATAATAATATAAAGTAGGAAATTTTTGATTTTTTTTCTTGATTTATCAATAAACAGGATGCGTGAAAGATACATGTATATGCGATTGATCGCACAAACATAATTCGTGCATAATCTGCATAATTCAAAATACTTTTTATCGATGTTATTAAATCAATAAATAATTAAGTATAAACGTAAAGAGTTACTTACAGCTTTTCGTTTATCCTCTGCACTCAAGGCACTATGACTCCTGTGCCTGATAAGATCCATAACCTTGCTCACAGGATTTCTACTACTTTCGGATCCAGCTCTAGGTCTCCCACTTCCCTGTTCCTTATTCTCTTTCTGTTCTCTTTGGTTATCTCGATGATATTCTTTCTCTGTATGTACATCCACCGACGAGCTCCCGTGCGATCCTCTATGCAAGGAATGCTAGATAATGGCAGAAAGACAAAGAGAGAGATAGAGAAAAAAATGAATAAAAATTAACAATACTACATACGTGCGCATATAGTTACAAAATCTTATCCAAAAATAAATTTTTCCAAGTTTACATTCTAATATTGTTAAAAAATTATTTTCTTTTTTGCACGTTTCTCTACTTGAAAGAATCTTCTTTTTTTAAAACTTAATATATATAATGCATGCATTACAATATATGTATGTGTATACGCATATATGTGTGTGTGTGTGTGTGTGTGTGTGTGTGTGTGTGTGTGTGTGTGTTGTAACATATTCCAAATATAGATCTCGTGATCAAAAAGTTTCTACTAATTATTGTAATCCAAGTCATTTTCAATATATTCTTCTTTTCTTTTACCTGAACGGCACTTTTCATATTAGCTATAATACTGGGTTTTCTCTTGCTGGCGTCCGACTTGCTCCTCGGCCTGAAAGCATCAAAGAGCGCCGGCTTTCTCGTAGGACTAGCGGTGTCATCCGTAGTGCCGCTGCTTCTTCTACGTTCCGTGCTATTACTACGACTATTACTGCGACTGGTGGAACCGGATCGAGTACCAGAAGTCTTTCGACCGCCCTTGCCAGAACTAGATGAGCTTGACGCTTCGGTCGTCTGCGGAAGAGGTGTCGATTTTCCAGAACTGGGTGCACTTCCATAATTCGATTTTTTTATCGGCTTTGAATGCGAACCCCATGTATCTGTAAATCAAATTATTTTGATCATCATTATCCTTTTTACTTAAAAATGATGATAGCTTCTACTATTTCCATTAACATAATACGTAATTATTTAACTGTTGTTCTCTCTCCCTCTCTCTCGCAATAAACTGCGTTTTACGTGCAATTCCATTTACTCTCTATTTACATATGCTATTCTTTTTCCTTCTGTTATAAAAAATTATTTTTTATTAATAAATAAAAATCAATAATATTATAATATATGATATGCGAATATTTTAATAAAACGTAAATACTAATTGTAGAAATTGAAAAAAAAGATGTAACGATTGCACATACATTACCAATTATTAACTCACCTGCTCTTGGCCTGTGACCTTGAGATGCATGGCCGGAATTGTCCGCATCCTCGGTTACAATCGTTGGAAGTGGTTGTGAACCAAGTTCCTAAAAGAAACAAAGATTAAAAAAAAAATATATGCCGATATAAAATCTCTCAAACATCAAAAATTTTCTGCAGTTCCAATGACTACGAAAGAGTTATTATAAACCGTGAACCGAAGGCGGCGCACAAGATTAGATATCGCTGTTTAATCACACGATAGATGATATAGCGCGATTATATTTACGCAAGCTTTTCACATATCATCAAGTATAATACAAGATATTTCGTGTTGTGAAATTTTTTATTGATTTATTTTTGCATTAAAAAAAGGAAAAAGAAAGAAAGATTTTGACTGTACATATATATATATTATATACACACACACATTGCAGTCGCATAATAAAAAGATACATCTTTCAAATATTTTCAACAAAAAATTTATCCAACAAATATACAAATAATCTTCTAATTTTGTTTGCGACTTTTAAAATGCAAATTTATTCGTTTTCTTATATTTAGCTAAATGAAAACCATACAGTAAATTGTGTACAGTAAATTATAAATCATATTATTTGTTATCGTTAATTACTTACATTTACTTGAAAAAAAGAGCAATTTTTTTACTAAAAATCATAATAAACGACGTAATTCCTGAATTATAAAACTAATGTACTACCTCTTAGATTACGTAGCATCAATATTTTTATTTGTTTGCCAATGCATGCCCCAAAAAGTTTCTAAAAGACGGTTCTAGTCATTCCCACGTTTATATGTATAGTCTATCACAGAAATAGAGTCGTTAACAATACGGCGAAAAAAACGACAATGAGTTGTAAATCGAGTATAATTGCGAAATGAGAAAATATTGATAGACATCCCGTGGTGTCGTTCGTTGTGCGCATTCATGTGAATTCTTGCGGAGCACAATGGGAGATGGGATCGAAGAAGATTGCGACAGGATGGCGACCTTCCTTCAAGAGGTTCTCATTTTCGTTATTCTCTCTTTCTCTCTCTGTCCCTTTTTACCCCTTAAAATATCGTTTTAGCTAAGCCGCCATAATGTTAATCATTGAGCGAATGGAATATTAATTTTAAGAAAAAAACATATACCTTATAAGTCCCGTGATATTCTGGGCAACGATCCAGATACGGCACCAAAGAGTATTTTCGTATTCTCCCGAGAGATACCGACATCTTGACACATTGAGTCGAAAACAATATAGTTCTCAAATATTTCTTGCCCGGATATTGTACATCCGCGACATTTCGATGACAAGTAACAGGTATTCCGATAATGAACATCCACTATCGCAATCGCTATCTTTTCGCTCGTATTGATAACGACTTTCCTTTGGACAATGATCATGCTCATCGTCAATAATATTGTTTCTATTGTGTATCAGATAGATGATCGCGATAATATTTCCTAGACAACTGTCATAAGGCCATTATCACCAATTATTAAGCTAATTCCGTGTATCATCTGCGTGTATGTATGTGTGTGTGTGTGCGCGCGCGCGTGTGGCAATCTACATTTTTATCATATTTTACGTGGGATACAGCTATTTTATTTTCTAAAAAACGAAAAGTAATCTATATTTTCAAAAAGAAAAGAGAAAGAGAGAATATATAGTTATTGTATAATTTTGAATTATATTCAAGATATATTTTTGCACTCTAAATTCTTATAGACACGCTAGTCTATTTTTTCCAAAATATTTTCGATGAAACCGCATTGCATCAGAAAATAATGATTTTAGCTCTTCTTTACATTTTTCTTTTTTTCTTTATGGTCAAAATATCATTAAAAAATCGGAGGAATTCTAAAGTGCATTCAAGCATGTATAATAAACGATATATAATAGTATAATAATGAATTGAAACGACAAAAGTTACAAAAATATGCGGTAATCTTGGAAAAAATGTAGATACTGTCCAAACTTTCTTACGCTACGACATAACTAAATTTCCTTTGTAATTATTATAATGTCGTTTTAAGTACAGCGCCAAGACGACGAGCATGGAACGATCAGACACGTCAAAATATTTATTCATAAGGCCTCGCAATATCGGTAATTCCTCGTTTGAATAAATCGATAGAGCTTAAAGGAAGCCTCGTATTACTTTCCCCCATCCCTTTCATGAGATGTTGGAGCTACTACATTGGGATCTGGGACGAAAAACGATACTACAACGTTTAGAAACATATATAATATCTAGTCTTATTTTTGCTATCTGAATAGCTGAGCGACAATTGATAATTAACAATCGTGCAAATTTTATTTTTTGTCAAATTCATCACACAAATAATCAAAAATTCGCCCTTCTTCGAAAAAGAGGAGGAGAAGAAGAAAAGGAAGAAGAGGAAGAGAAGAAGAAGTTAAAGTTTTCGAGCTCTTTGCGATCGATACTGCTGCTTTCATTTTTCGAGGAGTGCAAGATGACAATTGATTGCGAGTATTATTTTTGTATTGTAATTTACAAAAATTCATAACGGGGATTTTTTTCTGGCGATGACTTTTGTGTGACATGCAAAAACTCGTAAAATAAAATGCAGAAATCTGCACTTTGTTGGAGTAATGACAATGTTGGGAGGGAAAAAGGAGGAATCGAGATGCCGATCGATGGATGAACGAGCAGTTTATTATACGACGCGAATGACGCATTAAACGGGCATTCACTCACGCGACTACTATCGCTCACGGGCTTTGGGTTTGTATGCGGAAGCATTGTTACGAAAGCGCGAAACAGCCGTTTCAACCGTTTTTACGTTACAGCACTCAAAAAAATGTTTTGCTAATGTAGATAGATTTCTAGATGTCGCAACCAAAATTTATCGCTATTTTTTGTATCTGATAGAATATCGTTTGTCACAGCTAGAATTTATAGCAGTAACATTCTAGCAATATCTGCTAGAAAATTTAAATGCTATTGTTAGATATTAATCATTGCATTGGATAAATATGAGTTTCAATACTGCAGCAAGAATAATTTTTGTAAAAAATATAGCTGCTCATTATAACTGCAGCAGCGATATAATATGTCAATGTACTTTAGATATCATAGCTAACTTATTTTTATTCCATTGCCCGCATTTGATATTCATTTCTGCATGGATATTTATTCTGTCTTCTACGATACATATATGAGAATTCACTATAAAAAAATTAACCGTCTGCAGTTAATTTTTGGAGCTCTAGGGCTCCTCTCGTAAAAAATGGAAGAGATGCGCCTATAACAGTCTTCGAGCTAATGCGCTCTTTGATCGATAAGCCGTGACTCGCGAGACCTGTGCCGCGGCTTTATATGATGTCTTAGATGGATTCTACTTTCGGGTTAGGCTTTTTACCTTTCGCCACCTAGCGGCGATAATGTTGCGCAATTGTCAAAAAGAGATAGACAGATTAGGTGCGTTATACAAACTATATTAAGTATCAGGATTATATATTAATTTGTCTCTTGTTGCTAGTATTTTCTGTATACCACAGCCAAAATTTATATCAAGTATGATTGATCATAACATGGATAGACGCCACAGAAAAACTTTCTTTCTAAATTTCACAAACAGTTCAAATATAAATTCTGTCTCTGTCATTTAGATTGATTACGTGCAACATATATACGATATTACAACATTTGCTAATCGTTTATCTGCCTCAGTTAATTTTTCGCACCTAGAAAATTTTTGCTATAGTTGCAAGATCATTTTTTTGAGTGAGCAATAATAACGGAGCAAGCGCGCATAAGCATCATCGATGAGCCGATATGCGTACATCTTAATAAAACGTTGTGCCGAAGAAATGCGCGCAAATACGCGACGAGACGAATCTAATTTTGCTTCGTTACGTATCACCGACTGAATATAATCGTGATTCGATCGAATAGAAAACAAAGGATCGACAGAGCGAATGGACAAATTATTCGTAGCATCAGCGAGAATCGATCGACCAACTAGGCTCGCCGTTGATAAATTTGTGAGACTGCTTCTCTTTGCGATAATTGATTAATTAATTTTAAGTGAAATAAATGTAGGATGTCGACGAGAGGCGATGATACTGCGCGGGACTGCGTGTACGCACGTGTCATTAGTTTGTCATTATCGATTCTTGAAAAAAATAACGAAAACGGCAGAAAAAGTTGCGACTAATTTCACTTCTCTTAAAGTCTCTTTATAAGTCTCTCGTTTCTCTTTCGACAATAAAAATCTTTTTCTCCGTCAATATCGTTTGGGTTCGAAGAATCGTGGGAGAGATAATAATACTCACTCGTCGTTTTCTCTCCTGCACGAAATCCACTCTGCGTATCCACACTTCCTCCGTGGAATCGTAATCGAGAGTGCTGGTGCTGCTCGCCTGACTCTTCATCTCGATCAAACTGCTGTCAAAGAATCTTTTGTCGAGATGTGGACTCGGCAACGGACTAGTCCTCGAGAAAGTCATGCTGGTGGAGTACGAAGGAGGATCCGTAGCGGGAAAAGTCATGCCTGGACCGGTGGTGTGTCTTCTCCGAAGAGGAGGCTTTGTCGTAGAAGTTGGCGATGTCACTGTCGACGTTGTGAATCTACCGGAGATTGATGTCGCAACCGTCGTCGTCGTCGTCGTCGTCGTCGTCGTCGCCGTCGTCGCTGTCGCCGTCGTCGTCGCCGTCGCCGTCGCCGTCGCCGTCGTCGCCGTCGCCGTCGTCGCCGTCATCGCCGTCGCCGTCGTCGCCATCGCCGTCGCCGTCGCCGTCGCCGTCGTCGTCATCGTCGTCGACATCGTCGTCGTCGTTTCCGAGATGGTGGTGCCTGTTGCCGATGTCATCGTTGTCGTCGCAATCGTCGTCATCGTTGTCGTCGTTGATGGCGGCGGAATCATCATCGTCGTCGTTGTCGTCGTCGTCATCGTCGTCGTCGTCATCGTCGTCGTCATTGTCGTCGATAACGATGGTGACGATGGTTTCGCGTCCGAAACACTAGACGTCGGAAGAGATTTTTCGTCAATCTTCTCGAAACTGGAATTCTCCGAGGAAGAGGGGCTCGATGCTTTTGATGTCTTGGAAGAAGCGCTATCGGCCTTTTCAATCTTTTCAATCATCGATGCATCTTTCTTGTTGTCGACGTGCGGACTATCGGCATTCTTCCCTGAAAAGTCACAGTCTAAACGCCACGTAACGCGACAAAGCCTTCATTATCTCGTTCGTACAATTTCCAAGGTCGAGCAACGACACAAAGACGTTCCTGTGACCTCGTTGAACAGTTCGCGGCAAATAAAACTATCACGAGTGCGCGCACCAATAAAAGGCAATCCTTGCTGTTGAATTAATGAACGAAAACGATATTATTATTAAAAATAGATTGATTCGCGATACCGCGTATAATGCATATAAAGAAATAAAGAAGCTTTTCGCGCGCGCGACATCTTGATATTTTATATCTCGAGTGTGTCCTTGTAAACGGTCAAGGATCGTGTCGATAAGAGAGCGAAAAGAGAAACGTGTTATAAATATACACCTAGGCGATCGTTACGGAGTGACTCTTTGCGCCGTGCTTTGCCAAAGCGCGAGCACGCTGGCTAATGTTAGCTCTCATTGGACGAGCTCCTCGTAATAGCTTCCATGTATTTCGCAACTGTATGTTTTTCTCGGTAATTGTTCGCGCGAAACAATTAGCTTTCAGAGTTCTCTTTGAAATTACAAAGGAAAAAAGCCGTCTTCTCTCACCTTCCTCAGTCTCGTATTCGTCCTCTTCTCGGCATTCCGACAATCTCCTGCCCCAGGGATACGGGCTATGCGTTTGATTCCTCGACGGTAACCGATTGACATGCGACAGGAAATAATGATGAAAGAAACTGTCCACGCCGTCCGAATCCTCTCCAGACGACTGTAACATATCCTTGAGCGCCGCCAGGGAGGTGATGGTGTTGTAATTAATTGCCGAGACCAGATCATCCTCGATGTCACTATCGTCGGTGGTATCCTCGTTCTTGGACGCGCTTTCCTTCGGTTCCTCCTTTGTTTCCGCTTGCGCCGTCTTGGTCGTTTCCGTCTTCGACGGCTCCGTCTTGTCTTCCGAGCTTGTTTCGGACTCGTCGTCGGAGATGCTGGTGGATGTGCTGTCGCTGGACGACTCTTGCTCCTTTTTCTCATCGTTCGTCTGCGTTTCCTTGCGTTCCTCTTCGCGCTCGTCGGCGATATCCTTGCTCTTCTCGTCTTCTTGGTCGATCGACAAAGCTTTCGTCAGCGTTTTCATCTCATTTTTCAAATTCATATTTTCTAAAGACTCGCGCTTGTCCTCTGTCTTCATTTTTCTCGCCTTCCGCCTGGTCGACTCGTCGTCGTCGTTTTCGTCCCCGTCCCCGTCGTCGTCGTCGTCGTCGTCGTCGTCGTCGTCGTCGTCGTCGTCGTCGTCGTCGTCCTCGTCTTCGTCCTCGTCGTCGTCGTCGTCGTCGTCGTCGTCGTCGTCGTCGTTGCCGTCGTCGTCGTCGTCGTCGTCGTTGTCGTCTCGCTTTTTACTATCTCCGTTCACGTCGCATTCGTCCGACTCGTTTTGCTTATCGTTACCGGTATTCTCCATCGAGGAAACTGAAAGAGAGAAATAAATTGTCACTTTTGCTCGCGCAAATATACAAAAAGAGAGTACAAAATTATGACAAACTTAAATTTTTTGAAGACCATTTGTTTAAAAGAAAAATTTGAAATAATTTTTCCAAAATTGTGACAGGAGTCTCTAGCGTGCAGTGCATATCGGTGGATATAAATTTTTATTTCAAATTCTCAGTTAGAGACAAGAGACTGTAAACAAAATGGCACGGTCGGTTTTAGTACGTTAGGTCTATATACATATATCGTAGAGTGTAGAGCCAAACGCACGCGTGCTATAGTCAAATAGTTTGGCACGAAACGGAGAGCGGGTGTTTTACCACTTACTGCAATGCGCAAGCGACATAATGCTTATCCCTACCATGTATATTATATTATATCGTATATAGCGCGTCATCTCTACAAGTCGGTCCGCGAGGAGCGCTTTAATACACCCCGGAAGGAGATAAACTCGCAATTAAGTAATATTCCCGGAGCAGATTTCATAATCATCGTGTTTTAATTCAGCGAGGAATGACAATGTCGCGGGTGAATCATAGACCAGATGTAAGATTGCAAAAATGAAAGCAATAGCGATGAAATTTTAGTGGTTCTTTGGCCGAATGCCAAGCACGGTGCGAATACTTGTTTACCGCGTCGTGGTCGTCGGTGACGTAAAACGCTATTCGAACGTTACTCGTTGAAACCGATCCCCGAACGAGATGTAGACACGTGACGATTTATGCAAACAAGGACAAGGAAATTTACGACTAGATTTTACATGCCAAAAATTACTTTAAAGATATAATTACAAATATAAATGTTATATATAAAAAGAATAATTCAGATTATATATATTACAAAATTATTATAACGATATATATCGTAATTTTTTCCATGTCTTTTTCCTTGTAAACGATTGCTTGATAAGATTGTAATTTTCGCTGTACACGGCGAACGATACACGTGTCTTTGTAATCATTCGCTATACATATCGCGACTATATTCTATCCTCTCTTTATTAAATATTCGATAATATATACAGATTATTTTAGGAAAAATTGTTTATCTTACATCTCGACATAAATGGCAAATTTACAATCAAATTATTCTTATTCGGAATTTGATCAACAGGTGTTTTTTTTCCATCATGGTGTCGACAAGTAGCGAGGGTAACTTTTGCGAACGTTTATAACGACTGAGAAATTGGCGAAGCGTTCATGCGTATGCGCTCGGGAGCCTCGGGTATCTCTATACTACATATTGTATAATGTCTTTTACGTGATATATTAATATACCCGTCGGCATTAAAAACAAACAGCTGTTTCAAGGCAGACGCCCACCGTTGTTCGCGCGTTGAACCGTTAAACGTTAACCCCATTATGCAATCGCACAAGTTACTTTCGCATCGCGCTCAGGGTGCGCGTACGTAATTAGGCTCTCTGTATATTTAAAACAGTTGTGTACAGTGTACAAGCAATTGTAAAATCATTTCATTTGGTGCGAATATTTTATCAATTACTCAACACTGGTAAAATGTAATTAATATTAATAGCTTTGATATTAGATGATATATAGAAGCGTATTTTAAGATCTCTCTAAATAAAAACAAATGTTATTTTTTTTATTTGAATTGTTCAAGAAGAAAACTTTTGAAACCAGACATTACAATTTCCAACGTGACGAGAATAAGAAAAGTATACGCGTTTTATCTTGGTCGTCTGTTTCTGACGATTACGCAACGACAAAATGAAAAAAAAAAGTTGCGAATCAAGCGACGTGTTACTACATTTATCCATAATACGCGTTTATACGACCTTTCTCTCTCGCTCGATTGTTCGTAGTTGAGGTATAAAGATATAAAAATGCGAGCGTACAAAACTATAATGCGTAATGGCCAAATTATCGCATGTATAACGTAAACAAGAGTACGTGTGTCTCAAATATAGTATCCTAATTGTATTCTATTTGTCGATTTGTGGATTTTTTTATCGCGCGTGATCCAGTACACGTTATGTATACGATTGTTTCGCGCGTGGTCATCCAAGTGGTTGACGACAGGGCGATCCATCTTGGCTCGACCGCGTGACGATGATGGTAAGCACGTGCTCTGTGTCAATTATCGTTCGTAATGAATAAAGCGACCGCGAGCGAAAGAATCCTACACGCGAATCGGATCAAGATCGTTATTTTGCGCGCACATTATTTTTGTCGACATTGCGGAAAAAAAGGAGCATCGAGATGAAACAACCATTACTACTTTCAAATTTCGGCACACATTCGGATTATTTGCATGTAACGGATGCATCTCATTATTACATCATTCCATTTGTTTCGGCGAATTATTCGAGCGCAAACGTGAGAGAAAGACACATTTCCGGCTGCGAATGCGAGCACGATAATTGACGAGATGCACCTCGACATGTATGACATGTGACAAATAAACGATGAAAAGTCATGATGGAAAAGCATATTGTCGGAGCATATTGTCGAAAAAGTTTCAGAAATGTTAAGTTATTATCTAGATAGAAATTTTCTTATGTATACACACACACACACACACACACACACACACACACACACACACGCACACTCTTGGATCGATAGCGTGGCATATGTACAATATTCGAGAGAGAAAATACACAAACAATCGCTCTGCTATATATACATGTATTTAAAGAAATTGAGCGTTTTAACACGCAAAAATAGAAACTCGAAACAATATAAACAGTATCGTAATATTAAACTGCAAATTCCAACGTGTTGCCAAAAATTTCCACGGATGAAATCGAGATGTTATCGAGAATGATGACGACGAGTTGGACCCGATTGATAAATCTTTGTCGCCACGTTGTCTGCCATGGATCGAAACAGTCTCCACCACCGCAGCAAACCATCTCGTTATTCGACTTGCCAAGTCGAGCCAAGATGCACGAATGTCTTTTATAACAAGAGAAACAACCAACATCTACATTACATTTATCGTTGCAGTTACATTTGCCGTTGCGATATAATTGGAGTGATTATAATTTTATATCGAAAAAGAAGCAAAAACGAAAAGAGAAAAGAAACAGAAATGTTTGACAAAACAATTTTTTCATTTCCGCGTATTGTAAAAAAATTTACGATTCGACGCTTCTCTCTCTTCAGACCAAGACCTTTCTTTTTTCTCTTACGTAACAAATCGCAACTAATTAGTCGATATTCTTGACCTTGCTATTTATCGTACTGTTGGAACAATTCTGGATACTCTTTCGACAATTATCGATATGCCTAAAATATCATCTCTCCCTCTTTCTTATGAAAACAAGAATAATTCGATAAATAGATTTATCGAATTATTTTTTAGCGAGGAAGGATATCGTTTGTCGAGATGATAAATGTATAAGAAAATTGACGTTAGGCGAATCATATCATAAAATCAACGATAATGTATCGTGCATCACTTATGCATCATCATTACAAACAGCATTATCGTGGCTTGTATAACGCTACGTTAAGACCGTACGTCGGTGTATAAACCGATATAATCGTGGTCTTTACGATTATGCTCTCCATCAGACGATGCGTACATACATACTTGCATTTTCACCACGTGCTTTCAATAAACTAGACCGCCGAGTAACGGTATAACTCGTCATCGTCGCATCTCTAGCAATCAATTTACTTGCGCACACAATATGTCATTCCAAAGTATCATATATATATATATATATATATATATATATATATATATATATATAAATGTAAAAGTACCTTAGCTAATAATTTTTAAATTAATTAATTACAGCACGATACGGAAACAACCAGTTTCGATTGAGTTTTGATTATCGATAAATTTATTGCGCAGCACTTTTTGCATTCATTGTAAGCACTTTTGGTATTCTTTGCTCTCTCTCTCTCTCTCTCTCTCTCTCTCTCTCTCTCTCTCTTTTTCCAACATCTAAATATATATTTGTAGTTTATTTCACTTTAAATGTAGAAATTTTGGAGCAACACGAACAAATCAAAATGTACATTTCCTGTACTTAAAAGAATAAATATATTTTTACATTTTTGAAATTGTACAGAGTTGACACGATAGAAGAGAAAAAGTAGTGACGGAAAGAGAGAAAACAAGTGGAAATTTAAGTGTTTATTGAGATTTTATGCAAAACTTGCATATATAAAAGTGATTGTGCATGTGCGAAATAAATGCATCGCGAAACAAATCCACTCGATTTTTTGTCGCGGCCACGTGTTACAGTAATTGAGCGAAATAATCGATGAGGCGACGAATCGACGCAACAATGTCCGACTACGCTGTCAAAAGAAGGGGGAAGGGAGGGGGAGAAATGTAAAGAAGAGTTTGCACATTATCTTAACGCGAATCGCTGTAAATAACGTAGCTCGGGTTCGGGTCACCTCGGGATAAACCAGGAGCCAGGAGGCAGGAGGCAGGAGGCAGGTCGCGATCGATTTTTCTCACATTCGCGCTCGACTCGCACGCACGTATTATTGCTCCGCGCGCGTGCGAAGGTTAGGCGAAGGATAGGTTTCGCGTGCAAATAAAAGGGATCGCGAGACGCGAATCACGAGCCTTGCCTGCCTCGCCTGCTTCGTCTCTTCTCGTCGGTTTTCCACTACGATTAGCTGCGGTTAAACAGCTGCGCGCTCGACAAGGCGCGAATACGAATGGCACAAGTGGCACAAATGGCAGTACGAACGAAGGAAGCGTCCTTGTTTCTCGCGGAGGGTCAGTCGTTTGCAACGATATCGATCGGTCGATTGAGTCGGGCCGATTCGCCTCCTCGCGCTAGAGCGACGAATAAATTGCAATATATACATCCACGCATCGTGTGTGTGTGTGTGTGTGTGTGTGTATGTGTACATGCGTCGAAACTTATCGAGCGAGATTCGAAGCACCATGGTTTATCTAACCTCGAAAGATGTCTTTTCTTCTCTCCCTCCCTCTCGCTTTCGCTCTCTCTCTCTCTTTCTCTCCTCTCACTCTTCCTCCTGTCGATGGCGATGGCGACACGACGATAGCTTTGAATCTCGGTCTCTTTCCTCACTCGCACTCGCGATTCGGCACTCTTGTGGGACGGAGTAACGTACGCGAACGATACGACAGTCCTTGGCGGTGGCGCGCATTTACGGGCCGTGACACGGCCGGCAAACTCGCAGCTCGCACCCTTTTCGGAGTACCGGCAAGCGCCGATTATCCGTATTGCTTTACGCGTATCGGCGACATTTAAGAGGCGAGCGTCCACGAGTCGCAAATCGACTGTCGCGATTACCGTGGCCGAGTCAGGCGGTAGCGGGTACGCGTTGGCGTTCGCGTTCGTGCCGCAGTCCCGATACGATTACGTCGACGCGAGCGACACGCTGCATCCGGAACGAGCGGATTAGAGGTCTGCTTGGAAAACGGACGCAAAGTGTAACGCGGCTATACGCGGCCCGTACAATCTGTCACAATTCTGTCTCCCACGGAAAATCCGAGGGATATTAAATCGAAAGACGTAACCGAAAACTTGCCCGTGCCCGTGCTCGCCCGACTCGACGAACCAACCTCCGGAACTTCGGGACCGCAACTGTGCCGCCACTAGCGGGGGCGGGACGAGCGGGAAGCGCGCTCGATACGCCTCGTGCAGCGCCGCTGTGCGGCGCATACTCGTACCATTGTATTTACCGACGAAACGTTACTACTTTATCGACTCTAGCACTCGGAATTTTCAACACTTTTCGCGTAGAGCTCATCTCTTGAATTTTAAATCGCACATTTTACAATAATACTTTTTTCCCTCTCCTTCCCTTTCTCTCTCTTTCCGTTTTCAGCAACATGAATTACTTTTGTCGCATGTTTGCGCAGAGGTGAGATGTCGCGCATAACCTATCGTCGCTCGCGTAAAGCTACGACCATTCTCTACGTTGTTATGAAAACAAAGTTGGCGACAAGTATTTTTCAAAATATTAAAATATACTTGCCTCGATTACCTTTATTTGCCCAGCTTGTATATCTTGCGACGGTATAAAACTATACATATTATATATATTTATATAGTGTAATCGACAATCTTTCGCTTGGCGTCCCAACATGTGCGGAATATTTTGTTGTATACATCAAGCTAGAAACGACTCTGAATCCTTCGCGCAGGTATGTGTAATACGCATTGTGTATCGCGCGAGCATCATCGTTTATCGTTACATTACAATGTGAAAGAAAAGGCGTGATGCCAAAGCTCAAAAATACCAGACACACAGATCGTTTCATTTTCTTTTTAATATTAAATTAGGAGTCCAAGAGTTGTCTCGCGCGTGCGCATCCGCGTACACTTTTCTGTTTACATACATTTCTTTTATAAATAAAATTTTCTCTGTATATAATTTGAATATTTTTTTAAAGATTTTGAAAAAATTCTTCCTACATGAAAAGATGCATCCATCGCACATACAAAGTGTTGACTAACAAAAATTACTCTTTTTATTAAATTATATATAGTTTCTTTTTTAATTTACACTCTTTGCATATATAATTATCATATTATTAACTCTAAAATCGTTTTAATGTATAATTATTTTTCTATTTTTAATTTTGTGTTTTGGAAACAAGAAGCATATATATAGTTAGATGGACAAAATTTTTATAAAAATTTACACGTGCCAATCGTGTTCTTTTAATATTTAAATGCTTGATGCAAGTTAAAAGGTAAAGAAACAAAAAAGCTCATAAATTATTCATCATCTTGAATATTTCCTTTAACTTTTGAACAACGTTCCAAGTAAATATACAATGTAGAAACTATTGTTTTGAAATTCCGACTTTATATATTTCAAAAAAGTGTACAAGTTTAAATTGGAGAAGAAATAAACGTTTTGCGCAACACGCATCTCATTTAGTCTTGATGAAAACGTATAGTCGCACAGGATGATAATTGGAAAGTTATTCAAACTAATTTGGTTGTTATTTAAGAACAAATAAATGGAATTAGTAAATTTTGTTAAACTATTTTGAGTAGTAGAGAATCCATTAATTTTATTGCCATACAATATAATAAAATTATATAAAACGACTTGATAGTGAAATTTTACATTAAAAGATAGTAGGCATAAAAATGGTAATGGATAAAATTTGATAATTAAATCACTTTAATCGTGCATCATTTTTATTTGCACTCACATCTTGTATATAAAAATGAAATTAACAAATTTCTTGTACTCGAAACAGTTTGTTTCTTCCAATTTTATCCATTTATCTGTTGCAAATCACAGGCAATACTACTTTCAACAATTTCCTAATCATCCGTCGTCATTTCCCATCGTCCATTATTTGATTGCAAAATTATTAAATGTTATTTTATTAATAATAGCAATACGGATTACATATACTTTTCCTTTTATGTGCATGTTTTAGTGGAATATTTGTAAAGATGTAATAGCCGCGCGAGGTCCTGACCATTTAACAGAGAAACATATATCGTTAAATCACCATTGGCATGGACACTTTGCTGCTGCAGTATTATGGATGCAAGGATCAGAAATAATAACACAGCCAAGTTTGGATGATAATAACAATTTGTTACTATGGAATGGAGATATCTTTTCAGGTTGTTTGGTACGTAATTTATATGGATGCACTAAATATTTCTGGTCAATATTTTGAGTAAATGCTGCCCTTCTTTTCACAATACATTATACATTATCTAGTATAAATTGTATGTACATATATATATATATATATATATATATATATATATATTCTTATGAAAATGCATAATCAAACTAAACTTCTCTCTCTATTTTCTTAAATTTCTAAAAGGGTCGGTCCTTTAAATGAGAGAAAGGGAAACGCACAGCTCTTTAGGGACAGCTGTACATCTTATAATAACATAGTTAATAATTTCAGGCAAAGGATGATGTTTGCGATACAAATGTGATATTGGATGAATTGCAATCGACCACAGATATCATGTCTGTGCTTTGGAAGATTGAAGGTCCTTATAGCTTAATATATTATCAAAAGTCAACCGATACATTATATTTTGGACGGGATATTATCGGACGGCACAGTTTGCTTTTAAAAATAGATACTAAAGCTAACTCACTGACTTTAACTTCAGTTGCAAACAAAAATATGAAAGGAATTGTGGAAGTACCTGCTATAGGTATCTTTGCAGTAAATTTAAATAATTCACGGATAAATTTAGCATGTTATCCATGGAAAGAACCTGATTTGAGATTCACGGATATTATCGAGACATTGGAAACGACTTTAAATGTGGATATTAATATTAGAAAAACTATATTAGATACGAATTCGTCATTGGTGAATTTACATCTACATCTACATCCAGATCCAAAAGATTTAGAATATCTAGAGAATATACCAGATAGTATAGATTTTAATGAGACATTGCGGTATTTGTTGGAAAATCGAAAAGTAAGTGAAAGAGTTGAGTGCTTGGCGCAACTCTTACATCAATCTGTGAAAGTCAGAGTAAAAAAGAAACCAAATTATTGCAAGGATTGCATAAAAACTGTATTAAATGGTGAAAGTATTACTTGCACTCATTCCAAAATTGGCATATTATTTTCCGGTGGCTTAGACTCAGCCATTCTAGCAGCGATTGCTGACAAATATGTTCCAGAAAACGAAAGTATCGATCTTATTAACGTTGCATTTGAAAGATCTGTAAATAATCAAAAAATAAGTCATATGAATGACGAAAAGGAGAATGTGATGCAGAAATATGATGTGCCAGACAGGAAAACTGGCCGACAAACGTATTCTGAATTGTTGCGAATTTGTCCCAACAGGAAATGGAATTTTATACAGGTATCTATCAATGCCTCTCTCTCTCTCTCTCTCTCTCTCACTCTATGTTTGAAATGTTTCCAGTCCATTCATTGTTTTTCACCATATTTATTTCAGTGTAACATCACACAAATGGAATTACAATTGTATCGTGCTTCGCAAATTTCTGACTTATTACATCCTTTATCTACAATACTGGATGAAAGTTTAGGATGCGCCATGTGGTTTGCAAGTCGTGCAAAAGGTGTTCTTTATCCAGTTGATGAAATGTACGAATCGCCATGTAGAATATTATTTTTGGGCATAGGTGCAGATGAATTATTTGGCGGATACATGAGACACAGAACCATATTGAAACATAAAGGATGGGATGCACTAGTGCGAGAATTAAATATCGAATTGGCGAGAATTTCCGAAAGAAATTTGGGTCGAGATGATCGAATTATTTCTGATCATGGTAAACAATCTCGTTTACCGTATCTAGATGAGAACGTGGTGAAATATGTGCAGGATATTAAACCATGGGAAAGGTAAAGTCAATTAATGCCAAATAATTATATTAAACATGGTACGATTCGAAATATAACATAAAGGAATCATATATAATCATTAATAGATGCTACCCGACTGAGAAAATGCCAACTGGATTGGGAGACAAATTATTATTACGCTTGTTAGCATGCAAGATTGGTTTTCAGAGTACAGCCAACTTTCCTAAAAGAGCTTTTCAATTTGGCTCGCGAATCGCAAATGGTAAGGAGAATGCTAATAACATATCGGATAGATTGTAAAATGTAAGTAACACTACTGTTTAAATGTCGATCTGCTATATATATATTTATATATCATTTTAAAGCCAATGAAAAAGGAAATGTGACTAATGTTATCGAGTTACGGCTACATTATCGATAATGAATGATTATAAGAATGTGTACGTGTATACTTTGATTTTTATTTCTTTGATTTCCATTTTCGTCAGCAACTTTGCATCAATACTGTAAGACACGACTAAAAGTCAAATTAATGACTGATTAATAATAATGAATCGATCAAAGTTTATATATTCCGTATTACATTTCATTTCACAAGTATAAATGCCATAAAACGCATGTATTGTTAATAAACAATGTACATACATATATATATATATATATATATATATATATATATATATATATATATATCAGCACGATGTATCACGATTTTCCGATGTGTATTTTGCGCTTTTCGTGCAAATGGCAAACAAATGTTTCTAAATTGACACGAAAATCCTAATATGTAACAAACATGTACATGTATATTTTAAAGCACGCATTATTATTCACGACAGTTGGTATATATTAATCTGAGAGAAGCAGAGGAATATTTTTTACAAAATATGTAATATCCCTAATACTAATAAGCTTCTATATGTGATGTATACAAGCTTTTTTTTGTCATGGAAACATTTCTCTCGCTGCCGCTTTCATTGATGAGATTATATATTAAAATAATCGAGATGTAATAATTTTTCTTGTGCATTTTATTAAACTTGAAACAATTTTAACACAAAGGAAGATTTTATTGTTGTTTACAATTATTCCAATAGCCACTGAAGTGTCCATTGTCTATGTCTATAAACATTTCAGCAAAGAATATAACAATATATCGCTAAGACACATAATAAATATATACACTGTAAATATATTTGATGTATTCGATATTTTTTTACATTTATATATTTTTTTATTTTATGCATCCACGTATATACAAGAAAACATTATGCCATTATTTAAAAAAAAATTTGAAAAATTATAGATTAATTCTGATAATACAAACATTTCACTCTATCATTTTTCTTTCTATACCTTACTCGACGTTATATACAGATAATGTCGCTTCTGGATCGTAGATTTGCCGCTAATTTTATGATATCGATCAAAGCGAAACTTTACTTACTTTAAACTTATTTTACTCTCGAGTTAAATTAAAGATTGAAAAGGCACTCGTGCGTTTGTATGTGTATGTTACGGGTGCGCGCGTGTGTACATGTGTTTTATATGTACATTTATATTAATATACATTTTTCAATCATATGCATCCCTGAGTTTCACTGCAACATTATCATCGACATTACTTGTACATCTAGTATAATCGCATTACAAAATAAATAATATACAATTATTCAATTCAATACAATAACGCACTAATTTATTATAATATTATAATAATAATAATAGCTATTTAAACATCATATTGAAGTCGTTCCCACATCGAGGCCGCTCAGGTCGAGACATCGTTCTTGCAAACGTTTCACATGTGCCGTTAGACATGCGTTTTCTATGTACAAGTTCTTCACTAATACGTCAGCACTGGTTAATTTATCAGCCTAATGGAATAATAAATTATATATAAAGATGGAGATGAAAATTGTGTGCGTATGTGTGTAAAGTAAGTTAAAATATATGCATACATGTATATATATGTATATATAATTTAAAATTTTATTATTTTAATTATAAAAAAATTTTATATACATCTAATTCTCTGACCAAACACTTTTTGCAACATGATTTGATGTTCTAAAATTGATGTACATTTTCTGAATTAGCTTTTTGTGCACAAATTTAAAAAAACACGAGAGATTTCTTTTTCCTTTATATCCTGTATAATTATACAAGATTGCAATTATCATATGTAAATTAATATACAAACTTGTAACTTGTCTATGGAGAAATGTATAATTTTTATACTCTACCTGATCAATAATTGTTTGAACCTGCATTTGAAGCCTCCCTTGACTATTACGAAGAAGGCACTGTAATTCATGTACTTCTGTCTGATGCTGCGCCATAATACCTGCAAAATAATTGTATGAATATATAATTTAATAGGAATTTAAAGAAATGATATTTATATATAAAAAATATAATAATGTATTACGACACACACATACAGAAAAATATACTTGAAAATACATTTTTAAAATGATTTTATATATTATTGTGATGTAAAATAGATTTTTTACCTTGCAAGAGTTTCTCGATGGACTGCCGTTGCTGTTTAATACAATGCTGTAAATGTCGTTTTTTGCGTTCTTGTGTGTAAAGTTTCATTTTTAAATCTTGCAAGACGCTTAGATCGACGCAGCTTACATGTTGCTGTGTATTATTCTGTACGCACGGACAGTTAATTTCTTTCATTACGTCACGTGTAAATTTAAATTCCGAGTCGCACTGATCTTCCTCCTTTATTCCTATCATAGTCTTTGCACTAATACGTGAATTATTTTGACATATTTCTCCCATCTTATGATGCTTGTTTATAGCTTTCATATCTTTCATTTCACGACATTTGATACTATACGAATCATGATCGTCTGTACGATCTTTTTGTTTCAATAGTCTATTGGAATCGTTGGATAGTAGAAATTCTATTGAAGGGATATGATGCGTATGACAGATTGTACCGCATGGATCCACGAGGGGTTCGTTGGTAGATAATATACTAGATGTACTGGAAGATTTATAGTGTGACGAATCTGACATTGTCGGCAAAAATATTTCATCCGGCACTTGTACATAGGAATCATTTGTAATTGGCTGTTGTGCCAATCTTAATTTTTCGTGCAAATCTTCAATTTCCAGATTCTTCTGAGAAATATCGTTTTCAGTTTTTATTTTCCACTTTTCGAATTCTTCCTCAAGAGCTATGTACTACACATATAAAAGAAATATATATATATGCACATATAAAAGAAATATATATATATAAACAAATATATATATATATATATATATATATATATATATATATATGCGCGCGCGCGTGTGTGTATGTGCGTGTATTACTAATGAAATGATATTAATATCTAAAATACTCAAAAATATAAAATATCTTGAAAAAAAAAGGAAAAAGAAAATATATATACGATGAATAGATATTAGATTTTAGATTGTCGTGTAAAATGTTTTATCTTACCTGCTGTTCCAAAGTAAATTTTTCTTCTATCGGAGACAATCGTCCGCCACCATTTTTTGACTTATCCGAAGGACTAATTAATTCCTCGTATTCTACTATTTTATTAATAAGCTCGGCAAGTTTATCGTCACTTATTTTTTGTTCTTGCTCAAAGAGTTGTCTTTCCTCTTCCAATTTGGCAGCCCAATAATCTTCACATTCTTCGTATTCCGTTTTTAACAGGTCTAAGCTTCGTTCGAGCTCTTGGCAACGTTCGATTAATTGCTTCTTTTCAATTTCTAATAATTCTACATTTGTAGTTATAGCTTTTGGAATGTTTTCAACTTCGGTAGTATTGGAAGAATTAATTTTTTCCTTATTTTTACATTGATCCGCGGAATGTTCTTCTTTCCGCGGTGGATAATCTCTAAGACTCGTCATCTTATTTTGCGTCATGTCCTTCGCGTCTTGATTAGTGAAATCTTCCACGCTGCTCGATACCGCGATACGTTTCGCGAAAGTATTCGACTTTGGCATCTTCGAAACGACTAAATCACGCAAGGATTCGTTAGTTCGTTCCTCGCATTCCAATTCGAGTTCAGACGCTATACTCTTTCCGAAATCTCGCGTGGAAGAGGAACGTAATATAAAATTTGATTGCAGATTAGCAATTAATCTCGATATACCATCTCTCAAAGCACATTTCTCCGAAATGCATTTGGTACTTGTTGTTAACAGCACATTTTCCAGATCTTTTATAACTGTATCTCCAAATCTTTTGCATTCCGTTCCATTAGAATTTAATATATCGGTTTGTCGCCCTTTTCCCATTGGTGATCCAAAACCAAACGATACTTTTGAATCGGTGACCTGTTGATCCACTTCAAAATCGTGTGCTTGCATCGATGCATAATTTTCATTTCGATCGCACAACGAAACAAGAGTTTCGAGTGGATCGACTGGTGCTTCGTATTTCACCTTTATATCTTCGCCGTGACATTTTAAATTTTCCACTTCCGTATTAAGTTCGTCATTTTGATCACGCAAGAGAATTATTTCCGACTGCAACTGTTTGATACGATTGACAAAGAAATCAACTTGCTTTTGTTGCTTCGCTTCTATACTCTGTATCTCGTCGTGTTCCGCGTCTAATACCTTTACCTGTGTTAACAAATCATTATTAGACTGCCGCAGCTTTTCAATTTGATTGAGAAGAGACTTATTTTCCGCTTCGAGCACCTGATTCTCCTGCAATATATTTACAATTTTATTCTTCATGTCGTGATTCTCTCTCTGTAATGTCTGTAACTGATCGTCTTTTAATTTTAGCGCTGCAGCATTCATTTCTCGTTCAACATTGAACTGATCCGACAATTCTTTTGTAATTTCAGCATAACGTTGTTCGTTCTGTCTCTGTAGATTTCTCTTGGTTTTTTCCAATTGAACCTGACAGTCATCAATTTCCTGCGCCAATAAATTTGCCCGTTCGTTTGCTTCCAACATGTCGAGACGCATCTTTTCTCTCTCCACTTTCATGTTTTCCATCGCAGCATTTAAATTGCGTTGCTCCTCATGATGAGCAACAATCATTTCTTGCAGTATAGTAATATGAGATTGAATGGTATTATTATCAAACGATTCATTCAAATTCTTGAGTTCGTTGCATATGATATTTGTTATTTCCGCGAGATTAGTATTCAAAGCGTTAAAATCTCTGTTAGATGACAGCACAGTTATATCAGATACATTAGCAACTTGTTCCTTATTTATAGTTCTATTAAGCTGTACCGAGCTCATTCTAGGAGATTTACATGTAGTAAAATCTAAAGTATTAACATCACAATTTACAATATTGTTATCAGATGCGCTATTCGTTTGCGAAGCTTCTATACTTTTTCTCTTTTGAAATATAATTACAAACTCGTCGAAGCTTATCAACCCATCGCAATTCTGATCAAGTCTCTCAAAGATAGATTCTGTTATTTGCTTTGGAAGTTGTGGAATTCCTAAACAATTTGATATAAATTGTATTGCTGTAGGATCTATGTTATCCTTCAAGTAAACCTTTATTTTATCCCACAAGTTTGTCAACCTTTTCTCATCCATTGTAATACTAATTTTCATGTCTTGAAAATGAATGTCTGAAATACTCTGACCATCGATCGAGATCTCCCTCTTCTCGATATCGCTAGTTAAATTATAGCACGGCTGTACAATATGCTGTTTATCGGTAATCAATCCTTGGAATTTTTTCAACAAAAGTAATAAACCGTCGCGAAATTCTTGAAAAGATATAGTTTGTTTATCTGGACAATGTTTGTGAATGCAAGATTTCAATTCTTCAATTAATTCATCGAGATGTAATTTATTACAAATTGAAAACAAATCATTTTCATCGAGTTCATTTTCTCCTTTGGCCAAACAGCTCTCAAATACAGCAAAGAGCTGTTGTTCATAAAGATCATTGCTATCAGCCATATCTTCTCATGCTTTTCTAATTAGCTTAAAACAATGCCAATTTCCATTTTAGTAGACCTGCAAACAATAACAATAGCATTAGAAACTGGCAGCACGTCTGGCATTGCATATTATCGCATGTACAAAGCAAACTATTAAAATTTTAGATTTATTAGTTGTACAGTTTGAATAAAGCGATTAATTAGGCTAGACATGTCACAGTATACAAGTTAAATATATTTATACAATGTTGCATTAATATTATTCTAAATGATTTTGATTAGTAGTTGTCTTATAATTTAACTTTATCTTAAATCATTTTAAATGTCACATCATAGATACAGAAATTTCTACAATCAATTGTTGTCTACAAAAAGTAATATATAAAAATATTTACGTTTCAGTATCAAAATGCGAGTGTATTTATTATTGATTGTTCTTTAAAATATTACATGTTACAATTTTCAAAGCATAATTTAACTTTTTTAAAATAATGAATCAAAGTTGAACAGCTAGTGAAAAGCTACTATACTCTTCTTGTACAGTGAAATATTAATGTTGAATATCCATTATTATATATTATTATTATTATAGTTATTATTATATTATAAATATTACTCTCTACACTATTAAGACTATTATTTTCCAAGTATAAAATTATTATACACAACTGTATTGGATCATAAAATAATTGATACATTTTATACAAGCAATGTTGATATTTTTGATATTGTTGATTATTTTTGTATGCATGTATGCACATATTATATATATATATATATATATATATATTATATATATATATATATATATATATATATATATATATATATATATATATGAACTTTGTTGTTGATTTCTGAAATGATAAAATCAATAACGCAATAAAATTTAATTACATTATTTCGTCAAACGAACTTTGTACGTTACATGATTGCAAATGTGTACATACATAAAAATTCAAAATAAAAAATCGTAGAATGTCATAAAGATCAGTCAATTGTTGTCACGATGATTTTATAACCTATTAACCTACCAACACTTGTAATAAAACTACAGCCCCATACTCGTACGTATATGTTGCAGAGATTATTATTTCTTTATAGTATATATTAAACGGTACGCATTATTTAAACCTTTAAATACTTTTACATAAATAATGTAATTTATTTTGACAGTAAAAAAGAGATAACATACACACCACTAAAAATTAAAATTAACTATATTTCACTAACTCCAGATTCGAATTGATTCGAATCGTGTCATAAAAGATGGAAGTAAAGCCGTAATCACACTACGAGTTGCGAGCTCGATTACGATTGTGACCCAATTAACCAATCGGAGTAGTCGGCTTAAGGCTGGTATCGAATCGATCGAAGGGAGCGTCCCGTTTAACCACAGCCAATTGTATCGGTCTATGCCTAGGGTAACCAACGGGCAACGATTGACCAATCGGAAGGTCCTATTTTGAACTGGCCAATTGGCGACATGCTCCATCGGGTGCCACCCAAATGGCAGTAGCCACTCAAATCGAGTTGCCGCATATTACCAGCAACTATTAACCAATCGAAAAGATCCTATTTCAAATCGGCCAATCGACGACGCGGGCAACTAGATAGATTTGACTCTGCATTGGCGTTTTCAAATGTAACCATTACATACTTCGGAGGAATTTAATGGCTGCGATTGGTCAAGGACGTGAGTTTAGTAACCTACCCGTTCCGCATTCGAAAGCGCCATTAGATTCGAGATGGCCGTATCGATGTACGCACTACTGTGATTAATCGATCGTTACGACACGATCGTCGGCCGCATTCAGAGCATTTTTGCTGACGTTCTACTCAAAGATGGCGTTGATGCGTGCGCCCTGTTTCTTGTGATGGACGAGCGTTAGAGAAGTTTTTTTTCTAAAAGTGTGATTCTCTCGTATAAGCAAAATGGCTGATGATGATCCGTGGTTACTGAAAGAAGACGGTTGTTTAAATGTGGACACCGAGTGCAAGAGTATAATCTATCACGCCAATTTAAACGTTTTACTCATCACCACTGGTAGCGCACAAGTATACGTATTCGATGTCAACTCCGGCGTGATCTTGCAAAGAAGTTCTCTCTCCGGTAAGCATGTGTACGGATCTCGTCGTCGAGTTGATTTACGCAAACGACACCGGGAAAAAAAACTCGTCACTCTGTCGCATTCCGCGTTGCATCGATCCAATGTTTGCAAAATACTGTGCAACGATATCTCGTAGTCAAGGTCGCGCATGTTTCTCGCACATTGGATCTCGCACTGATTTTAAACTCTTCTCTTGCGCGTAGAATGATATCTCGCTCTCTTTGTCGATTTTCCATCGATTTAAATAAGAAGAAGAAGAAGAAGAGAAAAGAAATGACCTTGATGTAATTCACCTTCCAACTTTGCTTCATTTCTCTTCTCAATCTAAATCTATGGTATCGATATCTATCCTCTTTCCAGTTGTGTTTTATATATATATATATATATATATATATATATATATATATATGTAACACAATTAGAAAGAGAATAGATATCGATACCTTAGATTTAGATTCAAAAGAGGAATGAAGCAAAGTTGGAAAGCGAGTTACATCAAGATCATTTTTCACAAAAAAATTATATATATATATATATATATATTTTTTTTTATTTTTTTTTCAATTTGTTGCATTTTTTTCGTTGTCTTACCTCATGTGCAGATGTGCACATTTTTGTTTTAAATGTAAAAATATAGTAATATACAGAAGAAGAATAGATTTGTAATTCTATCGAGCAAAACATTCTAGTAGAAAATTTACCATTTCTTTCCAAGTGTCATTCTTGTCAACTTGATAAACTGTCTTGCCATTTGCCTGACGTGCACAATTAAACATCTAAAGATAAAGACTTTTTATAAGCATCTTTATCTCGAGTACAGCTCTAGCATATACATGCTGATGTTTTATATTTCTAAATTTAAAATACAAATATTAAAATTGTCTATGTTGCTTAAAATCAATACATTTGTATGTTTTTTTTTCAAAGTTTTTATATTAAAGATTTTTCACAAGTTTTTCTTATCACTATCATTACATGTAATACATTATTGTAAAGAGAACTACAATGTAAATCAATTTTATAATTATTATATATTTAAACAAAATTGCCAAGCAAATTATTTTATATTAAACAATTTTATACGAATTTTATAGAAATAAAAATAAAATACATTTGCTATTGGTGACAAGAGTAATTAATTTATATATTTATATCAAACATTATTATTTAAAGATATTATTGATATACTAATACTAATAATGATAATTTGTAGTAAATATGTAAAAACTCACTCTTACTTATTTTGTAATTGCGATTGTGTTATAGGTAAATCAAATGGAAAATTGCAAGGAATATATTTATCAGATGGAGTAGGCAAAGTGTTATATACAGATGGACAGGGGATTGGTATACGTAGCGATTACAATGGGGTTTTATTGTTGGATACAATTTTGCAAACCCCAATTACCAAAAGCGAAGATATCGTAAAGCTGGAATTGCTGCTGTCAGAGGCTACAATATTACTTCAATGTTTACAATGTGTAGAGTTGCCTGGAGTAGAACATTTGCTAGAAGTATTGCAAGAACTCTCGAGTAAGATTGTTGTGGCGCAAGCAAATCAGAAGAAAGGTATTAAAGCTCAAAAAGTAAGTAAAAGTATAATTTGTTAAACTAATGTGCAATTATTTTTTATACAATGCTCAATGTAGGAATATAGATTATATTCCAAAACTAATTGTTGTAGATTATAGATAATTAATCGTACAATGATGAGAGAATATATCTCCCAAATTAAAAGAATTATTTTTAGAATGAAGCACATCATTTTCAATATAAGTTATAAAGAAAAAATGGAAGTAGTATTTTTAAAGTTTGTATTTTTTCAATATGATTCTTTTAAAAATATGTAGGCAATTCTCTATATTTCACTTATATTTCGAATCTAATCTCCAGTGAAATTTATTTTAAAAGAAATACATAGAGTATATTGAATTTCTTATGCAGGGATGTTTGCATACAAAATTTACTATATATTACACATAATATTGAAAAACGTAAAATATAATGAGATAGCGAGAAGATATTGCGAGAAATAATTAAAATGACAGCCTGTATTTTTTTGTAGAAAACAGATCAATTTACAATCGATAAAAAACGTAAATAATAATATATATATATATATATATATATATATATATATATATATATGTATATATGTATGTATGTATTGATAACACTAATACAAATATATCAGCATTCGTTCCAGTCATTGAAATGCTGCATATAAAAGTAATAGAAATTTCTCATTTCAGTGGAATACGATATGTTTGGAGCTACCGCACGGATCTTTGAAACTCGTATGTTCTGGTTTAGTAATGGAATTAAAGAGGCAAAATCGGCATATAGCAGCACTGCCTATTGCTTCTGCGATCAATGAACGATTAAATGGCCTATTGCCTAGTCTCGCGCTAGAAGGTGGTCCCACTGATAGAGCATTAATGTTTAGCGAAGCAGCGCGACGTAATACATTTCCAAAATGGCCACATATGAATTACAAGTATGTAACATGTCACGCAGCTTTCTTTGAATAACTTTGAGTTTTTGAATAACTTTTGAGTTAGCAAATATATAATAGAAGTATTAAGTGATATTTATGTACAGATATGTAAAATTATAATTGAATACGCTTCAGATGGGCTTTACCCGATCAAATGGCGCAGGCTGGTTTCTATCACGAACCGAATGCTACAGGTGATGATAGAGCAATGTGTTTCACTTGTAATGTGTGCCTGGTATGTTGGGAACCTACGGACGAACCGTGGTCAGAGCATGAGAGACATTCGCCTGCATGTCCCTTCGTTAAAGGCGAATACACGCAGAATGTTCCACTATCTGTCACCCTCGCGACAGCTCCCGCTTGTGAGGTGGGCGATACAGTGGACGTCATAGGTACTACTAATGTCACGGGCCTCGCGGCTACAGCCTCTTCCAATGGTTTTGTAAATATTTGGAACATGACGAATCAATTGAAGGTGAGTGTTTATTAGAGTTTTGCATATATATATATATATATATATATATATATATATATATGTATATATTCTAATGTTAATGCCCTTAATATTTATCAAGCAGAGCAAAATAATATTTATATGTAAAATTTCGATAAAATTTAACAACTTTTATTTCTCTTACACCAAGATATTCAAGTAATTCTTATAGTAAGCAAGTACATCATATGTAAATCATATTAAAAATGAATTGGTTGGATTCGTAAATTAGCGTATCGCGTTAAGATTTTGAAATTGTATGTACAAAGTTAAAGACAAAAAGCGACTTTATGTGTCCTTAATTGTAAATTTATTTAAAAGGGAAGAAATATTTTTTTCTCCTTTTTCCACTTGCAATTTATAGATCTCAAGAAAGAAAAAAATTTTTTTCCGACGTTAATATTCAAAGTTATTATATACTTTATATCGCGATAAAACATGTCGATCTCGCTTTTGTAATATTATAATGTAAAAGAAATAGGAAAAATATAGTTTTTATATGTATATGTTTTACAACTTACTTGGCTTTGCATGCTTGTAATATTTAAAGAAAAATAACACATATAATGGTAAGTGTAGTAAATTAATTTTGAAAATTGATGACAATAGATGTGACACTTTTAAAATAACTTTGTCAATTATAAATGTATAGTCTTGGTTGGGAAAAAATGATTGAATAAAATTAAACGATGAATTAAAAATTTCTCGATATGTGTTATTAAAGTTACGAAGACAATCAACAAATAGCCACAACATTGTCTGTTTGAAAAATTAAGCCCAACGCTATTTTTTCTCCCTTTCTTTATCAAAATAATATATAAACTGTTGCATTTTGCAGAGAGAAGTATCATTTTATATATCTACCTTGGATCAAGAAATAAACAATAAGGAATCGATACAATTTTGTGCTACGCGAAATTTGACGACTACATATTTAACGAATCTGGGCTCGGACTCTGATCCACTTTCGGAATATAAATCCTCATCATTTTATAAAATACAAGTCACGGCGCTTTCAGTAGTAGGATCTCCGGCAACTTTGAAAGAGGAGGCGAAAAGTACCAA